AAGTCAGTTGGAGGTACCCCCTCGCAATTTCGCACGTGCAAGGCCCACCCTCTCGCTCGCTCCGTTAGTCGCCCCAAAAGGCGTTATACTGGTACTAGTGCATCCAGTGATGCCCTGTGGAGAGCACACAGGTGAGTGTTTGAAGTAAGCTGGTATAAACCCTGAAAAGCGGGGTTTATACCAGTTCGCCCAGTACTGTCCCATGGAGAACACGAAGATGAGAGTCACCAGGGGTAGTTATGGGCGGAATTTATATTAGTTGTACCGGTGCTACCCAATGGACGACAGAAAGGTAGGCGTGGCACTGGAGTAGGGCAGTGCAGGTGAAGCATTGCGACAGCACATACCTGGGTGGGGGTGGGGGATGAGTTGTCGTAAGATAAGCTTGAAACATGATAACTTTTGTCGATTTTTTATCCAATTCGTTTGTTTGAATCGACTTGGTATCAGTAAACAATGCAAACGTTAAGTAAACAATGTGATATTTCAGAAGAAAATTTACTGACATAGAAAAAGGGAGGAGCATGCCAACATCAGAGGAGCATCATAAAATCGTTTTTAAAAAGCTGAACACGAAAAACGCTGGTCCAGTGGCTACTTGCTACCATAGGGGAAGAGGATACAATATACATAGTCCACTGCTGTTCAATATTGTCCATGCAAAACGTGCTACCATCAGGCTGACCAAGAGTTATTCTGACCTTCAGTTCAAGCTGATAGTGTTCAGACTTCAGATGGCAGCATTCAGACAGCAGGGTTCACTGCTCAGTGCTCAGGCATAGAGCTGAGATTGAAGTGTTGGCAGCTCTAGCGAATGGTCTTACCGAGCTCTGACTTCAGTTCCAGATCGTTCTGGCGGCGGCGGCGCTTCTGGCCGTGTGCGCGCCGGAGCAAACGGCTCCCGGCGGGCCCCGGGAGCGGCGCCAGGCGCCCGCCTACAGCCCCCGCAGCTACAGCCGCGCCTCAGCCCACAGCAGCCCGCGGGGCCACCACACAGCCGCAACGCACAGCTACCGGACGGCGGCCCAGCCCGGCCAGAGCACCTACCGACACACCTACAGCTCGGCGACGAGCCAGCCGACCAGTGGTGGACAAACCTACCAGTGGAGCTACCAGTCTCCGGGCTACGCGGCGGCATACCAGCAGACAGCGTCCCAGACAACCACCGCAGCCCCCGCCTACCAGGGCAGCTACAGCACACCCAACTTGTGGCAAAACGGCTACAAAGCAGCGTATGGCAGCCAGCCTAACTACCAGACCCAGAGCAGTCAGTCTGCCGGCTACAATACACCGGCAGTGCGGCAGGCAGCCTACGGTGTACCGGGCTACCTGCAAACGGCGGGCGGCCAGAACGGCTACCAAGCGGCGGGCACGCAGGCCAGCCAGCCTGCCGGCTACAATACGCAAACAGCTCTGCAGGCAGCATATATAGTGCCGGTAAACTATGCCGCTTACGCCGTGTCAGCGGATGGCCAGACGGGTTATAAGTTAGTGACCACTCAGCAGACTGGCTATAGTGAGCCCACAGCTCAGCAGAGTGGATATGACGCGCAGACGAGTGGATATGACGCCCAGCAGAGCGGGTATAACACGCCAAGTCAGCACGGCTACGGAACACCCAGTGAAGGGATAACACCCACGGCCGCTGCTGTCTACAACACCGGCCACAATGCGCCCGCCTACGATCACGTTCATAACAGTGGATCAGCGCCTCACAGAGACTATGGTAGCGCCTCGAACCTACACACTAGTCCCAATGCCGTCACTGGTAGCTCAGCAATCAGTACCGAACAGCGAGTCCCAGCTCCAGGCCGCACTAGCAGCACCAGCTCGCCAAGCGTCACCGGCACCAGCCCACCGGTCGAGCCGTCGACGGGTAGCGGCCGTGCTCGCCGACGGAATCAGACTGTCGGCACGAGCTCCGAACCTACTCCGAGCTCACCGACGGGGGTAGAGCGGCGCGGCCCTCCCCCCGCCGACCGACGAAAGAGCCGCCGCCGGGGGCGGACCTCTGCGACTGGCCGCGGCAGATCCGCTGACCGCCCGCCAGCCCGCACAGCCAACTACCAGTCCCCGACCGCTGCTCCGGAGCCGGCCAGTGGGAAAAGCGGAGGCAGTGGAAAGAACGGACCGTCCGCCCCAGCTGACCCGGCGCTGCAGCAGAATCACCGCAGGACAGAGGTCAGCCACTTCACCAAGAATGAAATAACATCCGGTCAACGCCGCAAGGACCAGGGACTCCCCAACAGCCCCACGGCTTCAGGAGCTCGGTTCTCAAACAGCTTCAACAGCCAGAGCTACCAGTACAGCTGTAGCGGTCGCTCCTCCTCCCGGAGCGGGTACAGGTGTACCGGGTACCGGGAGAGAACGTACACAAAGTCCGGCTCCGAGCAGCCTGGCTACACGACCACGTACCGAGAGGCGTTCACCGGCCCCGCGCCGCCGCAGAAGAGCAGATACGACACCGCGTACTATCCCTGACCGAGCAGTGAAGCGTGTCTACGAATCTGTTAATGTTTTGTCTTTTATATACAGATAGATATGTGTGATATGTAGAAATATATGGCCAAGTACTCGTCACAATTGGAGAGCAGACACATGAGCTTATTCAAGTTTCAGCACAATCGGTCCGGCCGTTAAGGAGTAAATGTACGCAGAACAATTTTGTCACCGATAAGTTGGCATGTGGCACTCGCCGGGACTGTAACCTACTGCATAAAGAGCAGTCATATCGGGGTGGAAGGGATGGGTCCACCATACGGCAATGAACACTCATCTAACGGATGTACTGTTGCGAGGATAGAAGTTTCTCAAATACGTTGCAGGAGGGGCTGAGGCGCACATACTTTTCCTCGTTATATTTGCAAAGACTCGCTCGAGCTTTGCGGCCTGAAACAAAAATACAACGCACACATATAATTATCTGCATTATCCCCGCTTCAATTAATTTTAGCAAAGGTGGTGAGAGAAAATTGAACGAAGGTATCATTTTTAAAATGCACCCAACTAATATGCCTAAAAGTCCAACTCATTACATTCCTAAAAAAAAATCAACTCAATGGAAACTTAACCCTCGCCCTGGCAGGGGGGGGGGGGGTCGATGCGACCCCCCCCCTAGGGTTTTTCGAAGATAGCGTAAAAACGGCGGCGCGCAGCGCCGCCAAATTTGGCACAGCCTATGGGGCAACCTTTTTACATATGACCTGAAAATTTCAGGTCCAGGTGACTTGGGTCAGGTCACCAGGTCAGAAAAACCGGTACAAGGTCATGGTCAAATTTCAATTTTCTTTTTACACCTGTCCAACTCACAGTTTTGGACTGGTTTCCTTCAAACTTTCAGGATGTGCTAAGTTCACCGAGTTGTATAACATATAGTTCGGGTTTTTCAAGGTCACTGACCTGAGGTCAGTTAGAGGTCATTACGTCGTAATGTTAAGCCTATGGGAAAATACTTAATTCGGAAAATACTTGATATACCCGCTTCGTTCTATCACGTTTGTGCTTTGAAACCACAGTACTTAACAACAGGTTACTTGGTGCTTCTTTGTTTGGTGTACTTATCCATGGGACAGGTCAAATGAGGTCAACTGAGGTCAAATGACGTTTTTGCCAATAACTTGGCACATAATGACGCTGGAGCTTAACAAATGGTGTCGTTGTGTTCCTGGTGAGCAGCCGAATCGAATGATGTGCGATATGATGCAATTTGGCTAACTTGAACTTAATTAATTAATTTAAGTTTACTTAAAAATTAATAAAAACTTGAAGTACACTTAAGCGAGCAAAAAAGTACATCATTCGACGCCCCTTGACGTGCTAAGTTCACCGGTGCTTTTCTTTTTTCTCCATCTTAATTAGACCAAAAGTTATAAGCGAAAAACTTTTGATCTGTTTTTAGTGAAATTTTTACATTTATACCCCCCAAAAACCCCTAAATATTGACCTAGAGCAACCAAATTTGCACAGGGGCGAGAACTCCAGGGGGCCCACCTACCTTCCAAATTTGGTGTTTCTAGATGCCATAGGAGCCAATCGCGAGGGGGGGTCGCATCGACCCCCCCCCCCCCTGCCAGGCCGTGTTATGAAAAATGTCATGCCAGGGCGAGGGTTAACATAGGAGTGTCATTATATAAAATACCTATGGTGGACTAAATAAACTGAGATAACCGCCGGACGCCAGATACAATTCAAGTTCATCATACAAGTACATATGTATAACCAAAAGGCGGCCTCCAATAACGAAAAGAATACGGTAGCACACTCGCCATTCGCAAGCATACGTATGCACTGTCGCGTCGCCTTCGGCCGGCGCCCCGGCGTTGGCCACGCCCGTTCATCGGCGAATGTCTAGGTCACGGCCCGACTCCGAGCCGTATAAAGCCGCTCCGGTCCGCAGGTCGGCATCAGTTGATCACACAGCTCCACAGCACAATCAACATGAAGGTAGGTGCCCTCCAAACCGAGGCTGTTATGGGGAAGTTTGTTACGCAAACCCAGGCGGAGTGGTCAAAATGAAGGAAATGGTAAAAGCTTTGTGAATGGGATATTCTTTCGAATATCGACAAGCCATTGGAACAAACTAGAACGAGAACAAACGATTCAACCTTGGCCTAAACGATTCAAATAAATTGACTATTATCCTATGTTTCAGTTCTTCGTGGTTGCCGCCCTGCTGGCCGTTGCCGCCGCCGACAGCGCGCCCTCCTACGCGCCCAGGCCCGCCTACCACCCCCAGCCGGCCTACAAGCCCGCTCCCTACCACCAGGGCAGCTACGACCAGCCGCCCAAGTACGACTACAGCTACGACGTCCACGGATACGGAGACTACGAGCCCGTCTTCAACGCCCAGGAGGCGCGTGACGGCTACGCCACCCAGGGATCTTACTCGGTTGTGCTGCCCGACGGCCGTACCCAGACGGTCACCTACCGTGTGGATGACGCCTACTCTGGCACCATTGCTGACGTCACCTACGAGGGTGAGGCTCGCTACGACGAGTACAAGCCCAGCTACAAGCCCAGCTACCCTCAGCCGAGCTACAAGCCCACCTACAAGCCCGCCTACGGCAACTAAGTCAGAAATACGTGCATTGTATGCTTGAATGAATTCTGTTTGTGTTGTATTTATTGTGTGATGTCCTTTGTCAATAAAGCCAAACACCGTTACTTCATTTCTGGATTGCGCGAGGAGGTGGAAAGAACGACACTAATGAAATCCAAGATCAGTTCGAGGATCTCCATAACTGATACCTTTTCGAAATGTACAGGGTGTCCGGAAATTATTTGCCCCTTGTTCATTCAGTTATAATCCCACCGTGCGCTTTAAGAACTGTTGAAAATTTGCTAAGACCGTGCCTCAGGCTATCCACAGCTGTCCGTTAGCCACATGACCTATCCTGGTCACCTGACTTTGACACTTGCGAGGCGCCAGGGGTCAGAGTTTGGCAGGCGTAACTCGCACGTGAACGTGGTGTCTACTATGACGAAAGAAACTCTTTGACAAAGCGTCATCGCGCTGAAGTTATGGTGAAGACTGAAATGAAATAGGAAGTCAAATCGAATCCTCTGTCCTAGTCCCAATCGAAAACTGTGTGGAATCGTGAAGGAGAGCTCAGCAAGATTGAGCCAGAAAACGGACTTAAGAGGAACCTGTGAAAGGTGTGGCTGAACATCAGCGCTGTTACTTTGGACATCTTGATCTATGGAATGCCAAAGCGGATGAGGGAATGGGTAGGACAGGGCAGAGGATAAGTCGGTAAATAAACCATGACCCGGGGGCCCTTTGTTTATTAATTATGGCGGCGAGCTGATGGAGGGGCTAATAATTTCCGGACACCCCGTAGACAGAAATGAACGTCTTACGGTCAGCTAAGATGCAATATGATGGATGAGACACTTTCTTGTATGAATATAAAATGCTACTATTTCATAATGGCACTTAGGCAGTGCGCTGGTTCATACAAAACTGAGTCCTGATGGCTTAATTAAAATTAGAGGAAGTTACAACGGGCTGGGGCTCCTCAACTTTTACGCTATGATAGACTGCTAGAGTTTGAACATAAATTCTACAGCTTTTTTCCTTCAGTCTGAAAAGAGTTCAATTCGAAAACGATGCACTTCATTTGGGAAAAAGCGTTGTAATTCAAATTGAATTACTTTTTTCAAATTGAAATGCATCTTTTTCAAATTGAACTCCAACTTTTCAAGTTGAAGGAAAAAAGGTGTAGTCTCTATCACTGCTAATACCATAGAGTTAGAGCATGCCCGGGCCACGTAGCGACAAGCGGAAATCGGCGTTTAAAAACATAAAAAATTAGCAGAAAAATAGCATAGTCATTTTTTACATTCAAAGACCTCTTTCACTAGAAACTTGTAATTGCAAGTCTTTTTTCTTGTGAAATCAAGTTTTTTCTTTGTAATTGCAAACTTTATTTCTTAGTGAAGCATGCCTCTAGTCACCAGTTATCATCGGCCAAATGTACACTTTTTCAAACAAATCGGCGCATAACTCATAAGCTAATATGATTTGTGCTTTATCGGAAAATCACAAATCATATTAGCTAATGCTTTGTGCTTTGTGCGGAAAAGTGTTATCGATAGCTCTTTCGAGCCTCGTTCACGAGCATGATGTCATATTTGACCACAAATCAACAGCCATGGACAAAGGGACCTAGATTGGAAATTGCTTTTCCTTCATCCAAGGTTTGACCTCCACAGGGCAAAGACAATCCCAATGGATGTCTTTTGCCGAAATAACTCCTTGCCTTCTGCGAACATTCAATGCTCAGGCCATCAGGACACCATTAAACAATCGCAAAGATATATGTAACCTGGGCACTGGCCAGTGAACAGTGAAAGATGTAACGTTGTCGATCAGCATCTTGATAAATGGCATTATTTACCGGCTTCAAATAGGAAAGCTCACATAATTTATTTTCAGGTATGCCTAAATGATATTTGACCGCCAAACTTGAAATGCTCGCCTTCGCTTCTTTGCAAGAACACTTTCTATTAAAAATTCAACGATTGATCAGTCTAAAAGTGTATACAACATATAGCTCGAACTTAAGATATCGGTGAAATAAGGTCAGGGTAAGGCGACCCCTCCATTTCAAGACAATGGTATAATTGAAGTATGCTTCTTTCGGACGAAAGTCATGTTGAACACTCGCAAACATCGCGTAATGAACACTGAATCGAAAGTTGCAGTCGTGACCGCTCTTTAAAACCCTGAGGTCATCGTAAACCGAAAAAAATCTGACAGTCTTTCAAATCTAATTTTCGTTAAGATATGCTAGAGCGATGAAAACACCCTAGCATTCATCTTAGCGATACGGATCAGCGTAGTTACAACAGGACCGCTAGGGTATAGGCTAGTTCATTATCTAAAGGTAAAATTAAAGGTTAAACTAGAGGTACAGGTTTACGCGATAACTGTATGTTTTGATATGTATGATTAACGGATGCATTAGTTTGGGTGTAGAAACTTGCATTTTTATTGGTATTATTTGTGAAGAACTGGGTAACTGCTTTTAACTGAAGTGTAAAGTATGATGGTGATGCATGCGAGTTGTTCGAGCCCTTTGTAAGTTAGGATGTTACTCAATTCAACCCTACCCTACCCTACCCTGCCCTACCGTACCCTACCCTACCCCTACCCCTACACTACCCTAACCTACCCTACCCTACCCTACCCTACCCTTACACTACCCTACCCTACCCTTACACTACCCTACCCTACCCTACCCTACCCCTACCCTACCCCTAACCCTACACTACCCTACCCTACCCCTACACTACCCTACCCTACCCCTACCCTACCCTACCCAACCCTACCCCTAGTCCCTACCCTACCATATCCTACCCTACCCTACCCTTACACTACCCTACCCTACCCTTACCCTACCCTACCCTACCCCTACCCCTACACTACCCTAACCTACCCTACCCTACCCTTACACTACCCTACCCTACCCTACCCTACACTACCCCTAACCCTACACTACCCTACCCTACCCTACCCTACCCTACCCTACCCAACCCAACCCAACCCTACCCCTAGTCCCTACCCTACCCTACCCTACCCTACCCTACCCTACACTACACTACACTACACTACACTACCACCGACAGTCCAAGTTTCAGCTAAATCGGCCCAGAAACGGCTGAGATATTGCAAAAACAAATTAATTGTATTTACTGGCGAATCCTCTTGGCGAGCGGTGCCTTGTGTCGGCCTTCGTTGTCAAAGGTCAACGACCTCTCGGCTCTGATGCTTTTCACTCAGTTTTTCAAGCGAACAACTGAGCCTAAAGCGCGTGCTCTCTGCTCGGCGCCGGCCGCGCCCAGGCTACTGCAGAGATGCACGCGCTGACGCCGCACCCGTGGTCCGATTGCGCCCATCTTTTGATATGATGGTCCGCCCCACCCAAAGTTTGTGCTCAGTAAATTTCACGTCGCTACGCGGCGCCGTTCCGGCGCAAGAAGACACATAAGGCTGACGGACGTACGTACAGACAACTTATAATTTATTAAGTAAGACTAGGTGTCCAGCATTACGCGCAGCGTAATAAGTCAATTTTCACTAAAATCGGCCCAGTAGCGGGCGAGTTATTGTCTGAATAAATTTGGCGTCTCCTCCTGGCCGGCGGTGCTCTGTTCCGGTATTCATTGCCAAAGGTCAGTGACCTTCCGGCTCTGATTTCGCTCAGTTTTGCAAGCGAAGAAACTGAGCCTACGGCACGTGCTCTCCGCTCGGCGCCGGCCGCGGCCCAAAATGCTGCAAAGATGCGCCCGCCACGTGCAAACCGCTGCACGCACCCCCTCGAAAAGTTGATACGACAAACAGATGCACGCGTCCGACTTGCGCCCAAAATTCCACCCCCGCAGCCCGCACCGTTCCACAGCAATAACCCACCAAGCGTGACTGACGCGTTTCATACAGACATTTTGATTTTTATAAGAGTAACTAGGTGTCCAGCATTACGCGCAGCGTAATAAATCAAGTTTCAATAAAATCGGCCCAGTATCGGCCAAGTTATGGCCAGAATAAATTTGGCGTCTCCTCTTGGCCGGCGGTGCCCTGTTCCGGTATTCATTGCCAAAGGTCAGTGACCTGCCGGCTCTGATTTCCCTCAGTTTTGAAAGCGAAGAAACTGAGCCTGCGGCACGTGCTCTCTGCCCGGCGCCGGCCGCGGCCCAAAATGCCGCAAAGATGCGCCCGCCACGTGCACACCGCTACACGCACCCCCTCCAAAATCTAATACAACAAACAGATACACGCGTCCGACTTACGTCGAAAATTTCACCCCCGTAGCCCCCACCGTTCCAGAGCAATAGCCCGCCAAGCGTGACTGACGCGTTACACATACATACATACATACATACATACATACGGACTACGGACATTTTGATTTTTATATATAAGAGTAATTAAAGATCATTCGACGCGTCTCGACGAACGAAACACGATGCAGGTAATATCAAGTGTCATGTCAAAAGTTAATGCAGAGCACATTTTTCCAAAACGTCAATCTTGACGGTTTTTCCTCTCTGGTACTAAGGTCCCAACTAAAGGTAAAATCCGAGGATACATCAGCGTCAGGGTAAATCCACCGCTATGAAATCACAAACCAAATGAGCCAATTCATCGAAGAAAATAAAACGGCAAAAATCGACCTTTGATAATCTATGGTGACCAGACTATAAAAGCTGAGTTCTTTCTCAATGATTTTTAACATTTTGTCAAGCACCACTTACCATTAAAAAGCAATCCTTTATCTATTCCCACTCACTCTTCACCTTCGGAAAATGTTTCCATTAAAATGAACCAACTATTATTGTCTTTCCCTTTCGCTAGGCAACAGAAGATTCCTCTCTAAATTCATTCAATTTCTCTTATCCTCTATATCGGAGTATTTATTATATGTGAGCGAAATAAAATATCTATTTCCCTCCACCGGCGCCCCGGCGTTAACCACGCCCGTCCATCGGCGAATGTCTAGGTCACGGCCCGGCTCCGAGCCGTATAAAGCCGCTCGGGTCCGCAGGTCAGCATCAGTTGATTACACAGCTCCACAGCACACTCAACATGAAGGTAGGTGCCCTCCAAACCGAGGCTGTTATGGGGAAGTTTGTTACGCAAACCCAGGCGGAGTGGTCAAAAAGAAGGAAATGGTAAAAGCTTTGTGAATCGTTCGAATATCGTCAAGCCATTGGAACAAACTAGAACAAGAACAAACAATTCAACCTTGTCCTAAACAGTTCAAATGAATTGACTATTATCCTGTGTTTCAGTTCTTCGTGGTTGCCGCCCTGCTGGCCGTTGCCGCCGCCGACAGCGCGCCCTCCTACGCGCCCAGGCCCGCCTACCACCCCCAGCCGGCCTACAAGCCCGCTCCCTACCACCAGGACAGCTACGACCAGCCGCCCAAGTACGACTACAGCTACGACGTTCACGGATACGGAGACTACGAGCCCGTCTTCAACGCCCAGGAGGCGCGTGACGGCTACGCCACCCAGGGATCTTACTCGGTTGTGCTGCCCGACGGCCGCACCCAGACGGTCACCTACCGTGTGGATGACGCCTACTCTGGCACCATTGCTGACGTCACCTACGAGGGTGAGGCCCGCTACGACGAGTACAAGCCCAGCTACAAGCCCAGCTACCCTCAGCCGAGCTACAAGCCCACCTACAAGCCCGCCTACGGTAACTAAGTCAGAAATACGTGTATTGTATGCTTGAATGAATTCTGTTTGTGTTGTATTTATTGTGTGATGTCCTTTGTCAATAAAGCCAAACAACGCTACTGCATTGTCTTGGATTGCGTGAGGAGGTAGCAAGAACGACACTCATGAAATCCAGAAGCAGTTTGACGACCTCGATAAATGATAAATTTTATAAATGTGCAAAGAAGGAACGTGCTACAAGTTCAGTTAGCGATCTCATATCATATACCAGAGCTTGAGAATGTGCGAGTCCCGGGCCACGTAAGGGACAAGGGGCAGTGGGTGTACAAGACAAAAAAAAAACAGCCAGAAAGTACTTCAATCACTTTTCAAAGTTAAGCCTCTAGATATCGGTCAATGATAACGATTGTTTTTTGCACATGGACGCCTAGCTGATGAAATGCGATGGTTATCACTTACGACATCAGGGAAAGGAGCAGCCAGTAGCTCTTTCAAGACTCGTTCGCTAGCATGCCGTCAGATTTTCCCTAGATCGACAGTTTGGCCGTTAAAGGGCAATCGCCATCCAAACTGATACTTTTTGCTGAAACGGTTACGTTTCAGTTACCTTGCCTTACGTTCAATGACACTGCCCTCAGGCCAACAGGGCGCGGTTCAACCATTGCGGCATTCCACGGAAATATATCATCACGGCGAGTGGCGACTAACAGTCAAAGAAAGAGATTTGTTATTCAAACATCTTGATAGTTTGAATGGTGCACTGGTTTGAAATCAAAAAGTGTAAAAAAAACTATTTTAGAAACCTTAACCATATTTGACTGTCAAACTTACAATGTTTGCTACAGAGGGATCGACAGAACCAATGCCTTTTAAAATTCAGCGATCGATGAGTGTGGCAGGTATATAAAACGTATGTATACCGAACATTTTAAGAAGTTGGTTGCCAAGAACGGCACAATCGACTAGTATTGATGAATATGTCTATACTATAGGCTGTCGACAAACATTGCCGGAGTGTCCGCTCAAAAACTCTTCTCATTTCTAACTATTAAGCCAATTTGCTGTAGTAACTGTGTCATTAAAAGTTATTATCCCAAAAACACATCGGCTGACCAACTACTTAACCCATGCCCCCCGGGGGGGGGGGGGGTCAGAATCCCGTTTTTCTTCTAAACGCGTTATGCAGTGACGTCAAAGGGGACTCTGCCTCGTCACGTCACGGGAGGCAGAATCCCCTCCCGTTCTACGCCAGTAACTTCTAAACGCGTTACGCCAGTGACGTCAAACTTTAACATACATCAATTTAACAAGTTCATGAAAATTAAAACAAAATCCGTCGGAAACTTTTTGAGAAAATGACGTTTAAGTGACGCAATGTCACGCCATTTTCGCTTCTAAAACTGCAAAACTTCAAACGCCGCTAACCTCTACATTTTTAAAGGAATCAAGACGTAACAAAAAATATATGTGTTTCTACTTTGTCTATCAAATGTTTATCTCGTGTTTTTGGAAAATTTTGGATTTTGGCCCACCATAAAAAACTGACTTTTTGGGAAATTCAGTATAAAATCCAAAATTTTCTGTTTATCGAAAAAAACGGAATATATGTTAGAGAAGTGGTCAATGTGTGCACCTACATACCAATTTTTAGAAGAATCGGTTCAAAAATGTGGGAGTTTCTCAATCTTTTATGATGTCACGACACACAAAACTTTCGAAAAAAAATGATTTTTTGGGGAACTTCTAGACCTCATACGGAAACAAAAAATAGCACCATCCGATTCGCCGTGAAAAACTGCATCAGATAGACATCTGTTTAGGTTCTAAACAATCAACTTCAAAATTTGACCTCACTTGACCTGGCCTCGACCTGAAATTCATCCAGATGTGGTCAATGTCATTAATTGAGTGTGCCCATTGAATTCTATGAATAAAATAACTCAACAAACATCTGTCGCACATGCCCTCTTCTATATTTCGTATTTGGTGACCTGACCTGACCTTGACCTTTACATGACATTGTATGTAACGAATCTTGTCTTGGTAGCCTAAGAATACGTTTTGGGCAATCAGTCTCAGTCCATTATTCGGCAACAACGGCGCAAGGTCGATATTGTAGAAACTTGCATTTTATACCCTTAACCTGACCTTGACTTGACCTCTGACCTACTTAAGCAAAAAAAAAAATCGGCTCTTAAGATCCGCCTTGTTGAGAGCTTTTGATTGCCGTTTTCCCCGTCTTTCTACACCCATCGGTTCGGAAGTAAGACAGAGGGGCAGAATCTGCCCCCCTCCCCCCCAGCAGGGCGCGTATGGCTGAATAGCCCAGCGGGGCGCGGGTTAGGTAATCCTCGCCCCGCCAGAAGAAGGATTATGCAACCCTAGGGTTGTTCGCAAACAGCGTAAAAACGGCGTAGCGCAGCCAAATTTGGCAAATATTATGGGACATTCTTTTGGTATATCCCCCGAAAATTTCAAGCCAGTCATTGTGAAAATTTCTGTCACAACAACGGTATATTGGGTAAGATTGGAGTAACTTATCGGAATAACGAAGTTATTGCACACTGCGTAGCTTCAAAATTTGTAGACGTGGCAGTTCCCGCAAAACCTTTTCTGAGTCGAAATAGCAGAACATGACATGATTCTGATCTCATTTGTGGCCATCCTAACATAGCCTCTTGGAATCTTTTTGGAGAAAAGGTGTAAAATTGATGCCTGAAAGTTTGGTGACGATATCTGTAACTCTTTGGGAGCTATCAACAGAAAAAGAGGGGATCCTTTCACCGCAGGACACGGTTTAAAAAGCAGCCCCTCCGTCCATAAACCGGCCATCCTTCATCCCATCCACATTGTTTAATTTCAATATTAAGTTTCCACTTTCCTTCATTTGGACACAGAAATAGTCATTTGTATGCAGTCCTCTATATAGCTATAAGCTATGTAAGTGAAAAATGTCTATTTCCCATCGGCCGGCTCGTCAGCTGACCACGCCCGTCCATCGGCGAATGTCTAGGTCACGGCCCGGCTCCGAGCCGTATAAAGCCGCTCGGGTCCGCAGGTCGGCATCAGTTGATCACACAGCTCCACAGCACACTCAACATGAAGGTAGGTGCCGAGCTGAAACAAATTTGCAACGAGCTACTTGCAAAATAAGTGCCGAGAAGTTATATTACCACTGTTGAAAAATCAAATCTATATAACTATTAGATTTAACGAATATATAGAATCTATTGCAACTTTTTCTTTTAATTAACGTAGGGTAAGAAATCATTCTTCAATTTGTATATCACAGAGCCTCTTAAAACGAGGACTAAATCCCGAATTTAAGTTGCATGGTGGCATGAGTGACATTGCGTAAGGCCAGACATATTCTCAGCGCTGTCTGACAATAATCTCGCTTCATAATGTAACATAACAATTAACAATGGCCCCTGTCCTATGTTTCAGTTCTTCCTGGTCGCCGCCCTGCTGGCCGTTGCCGCCGCCGACAACGCGCCCTCTTACGCGCCCAGGCCCGCCTACCACCCCCAGCCGGCCTACAAGCCTGCTCCCTACCACCAGGAGAGCTACGACCAGCCGCCCAAGTACGACTACAGCTACGACGTCCACGGATACGGAGACTACGAGCCCGTCTTCAACGCCCAGGAGGCGCGTGACGGCTACGCCACCCAGGGATCTTATTCGGTTGTGCTGCCCGACGGCCGTACCCAGACGGTCACCTACCGTGTGGATGACGCCTACTCTGGCAACATTGCTGAGGTCACCTACGAGGGTGAGGCCCGCTACGACGAGTACAAGCCCAGCTACAAGCCCAGCTACCCTCAGCCCAGCTACAAGCCCACCTACAAGCCCGCCTACGGCAACTAAGTCACGAAAACTGGATCGTGTGTTTGAATCAAGACCTGTTTATGCTGTATTTAATGTGTGATGTCCGTTCTCAATAAAGTGATGATACTTTATCACTTCTTTCAAGCATACTCAAAACTAATGCCGGTCCCGTAGCTCAGTCGGTAGAGCGTTGGACACCGCGTGGTGAGAGCACGCGTCCCGGTTACAAAAGTACGGGTTCGATGCGCGACGGGCGCTCGACGTTTATGAGCCTCCTGACAGGTATGGTTGCGGTTGAAGGCAGGCCGTAGTCAGGCGAAGTCAGTGAGGGGACGGGCCGTGCGCGGCCATGTGCGCAAGTTAAACTTTGGGCTTCAAATTCTGTCATAGAACCGGAATTTCGCGATCAGAGGGTAGGGCAGAGTCAACTCAGCAAGCTTGGCTTAGTGAGGGCTCTGTCCTTGTGAATCCTTCCATTAAAAAGGTTCGGTCTACATTGATAAAAAACTAGGCTGAATTCCATAAATAATCCTTAAATGTTTTAGTTATGCAACAATGTCATTAATATGCAAGGAAAATAAAGTCACCGCAAGACCGCAAAACTCAATAAATACGCAAGACTTGAAGGCGAAGGCAGATGCAAAGAGCGCAAAAATGAAAACCTTTGAGTCAATCTGACACAAAGGACAATGGCGTGCAGCATCTGGGCTCGAACTCGGTTGTGACGCACCATTAGCTGTAGTTCACTGATTTCGTGGGCAGCGTCCTCTACAATGTCGCTCAGCTCTCTCAAGCATTGTGTCATGTAACGTTATATCATAATTTTTCGTAAAATTATCCCAAGCCCACAGCAGGGGCGGATCCAGGGGAGGGGGTTTTCGGGGCTAAAGCCTCTATCCGAAAAAAGCTGCCCTGCAGAGTGACGAATCGGAGCGTCGCAACGCCATCGAATCACAATATCCATAAACAACTGCATAGGAAGGGAAAGAGACAGAGGACGCTGTCTTCAAGTTTCGCTTTAGGCGCCCTAATCGTACATTTTGCCGGCCCTCGAGTAGGTGAAAAACATACCGCCCCATTCCATATGACCCCCGCCAAAAATCCCGGATCCGCCCCTGGCCCACAATATTATGGTGATTTGTGATGCTTTGGTGATTGGTGATGCCTGCGTTGATGCCTGCGTTGATATTATCGTTGGGAAGAACCACACCATACAGAAGCACACAATAACTTCCACACAGAACCACACATCTTCTTCAGCCATATCTTGAATATCAATTGGTCTGCGCATTCAGGACGAAGTTTAACCCTCGCCGGCCGAGGGGGGGGGCGGGTGCCCCCCCCCCCCATAGGGTTTTTTCGCGATAGCTCCGAACACGCTGGAGATAGAGAGCTGAAACTTGGCATACCTGACTTTTGATTCAAGCCGGATCTTTTGACACCAACCGCATTTTTGGGTCAGGTCAGGTCACTGACCTATGACGTCATAAGTGAACCTCAGCACGGTCTTCAGATGTCGCAACTTCGCAACGCCCTCACTGCCAGAGGAGATGTCACAGGGAAATGAAACTTGCAGGATCTAGTATCCATTATGAGTCTCACAACTTGTATATCTCGGATTTTTCCCAAAGGTCATATGAGGTCAGGTCATTTTCGTGACCTCACCATTATGAGTCTATGGGGAAAAATGAAAACTGCTATTCTGGCGCCGGGAACGATCTCCAACTATCTCAAGCACACAGAATCGTGATTTGATGCACTCCTTGCAAGGTTAGATGCGTCACTTTTGCAATGTTGACCTTGCGTGACGTCATTTATGACGTCATCAAGGTCATATTAGTTTTTCGTCAATAACTCTTGATCAAATTGAGCTAGCGAGTCGAGAAAGCCACCAATGGACACAGGAAGACCTGCCGAATCGAATGATATGCGACATGACCTCTTTCGACCACCTTCGTGACCTGGGGGCGCTGACCTGACCTTGACCTGAGGTCAACACCCTAAGTTGACCTGACCCAAACAAAAAGTATATCATTCGACGCGCCTGAACGAGACGAACACGATGCTGCCAAAATCGCGGCTCTGCGGCCGTTTTTTTGCGAAGTTATTCACCAAAAACTGAACCGTACCTTGGGCCACTTGACCTGACCTCAGAGGTCACCGGTTGACCTAGGACCTTAAAATCGGGTACCAATCTCTGCGTCTCGTAACGGCGCACACGCTCGTTTTTTCCGCGATGCGCTAGCTCCACCAGGGGCGAAACGGCGAGGGGGGTCGTACCCCCCCTCGGCCGGCGCGTATGTAGAAAACCAATAGGTCCGGCGAGGGTTAAGTTGACGGAGCTGCATACTTGGCTTCAAAAATGTTTCAGACAAGTCACGAACATTTCAACTTTTACACAAGCTCTTTCACAGCGACCCTAGTCCTAAGGGCAGCTGAGGACATGGTGAAGGATCAGTGAATGGCACACCCCTGAATGGCACGCCACTGATGGTCGCCGAGCTGAGCTCGGGGCTAGGTGAACATTTCGAATACCTTTTCTGACCACAAAACGAATAAGAAGTATCTTTTTATTGGACATCAAATTGTGCAGCAATTGTTTGTAAACCCATGCCACTTTGTTATGCTGTGTGTTTATATTAGTGGTGTCATTTTCCAAAAAAATATCTGACCGATACCGACCGAAACCAAAATTTGGGAAAAATTTCCGACCGAATACCGACCGATAACATCCCAAGCCAAAATTTGACCGAAATTTGACCGAAATTCTATTTGCTATGACTCTACCCCAAAATTAAAATATTTGGTAAATTATGATGGAAAATAATGGGAAATGGCATTTCAGTCCAAGTTCAGTCAATTCTTAGCCACTGCAAATTACATTTTGTGGCAGAAGTTACATTGCTAAGGGTAGGAACACATGGACCTAAGCATTTCACAGATTTGGTTAATTAGAATTGTCAAGAATCTACTGTGGTCTATGTAACGAAGAATACTCATTCATGTTGCTAAAGCACGATCAATTAGTAAGTCTAATGGTTGGTAATAGGCATGTTCATGACAACATTCTCTAGGAGAAAAGGCAGAATCAAAACACCACAAAACACATCAACACTGACACTGCTTGGAAACTGGCCTTGAGTCTTGAGATGTGGTCTGAGATACTCTACAAAGAATTTGACACTGAAAATCCGGCTGAAATGGCAGGTATTATGGTAGCTCTGAGCCTGAATTTCGTCCCAAAAATGAAATGAAAATTCATTAAACTGGCACTTTGTCTTATCTTTAAAAGAAAGCACAATACGCAGACAAAATTAATACAAAGTGGCGCAAAATAATAGAAGAACCAAGGATCGACTTTTAAGATCCTCTCTTCCCTAACGAAACGATGTAAGATGATGACGTAATATTTATTTATATGCCCTTTTGGTTGAATTATTGAAGGGAAATTAATTTTCTTGTAGTGAATTACACTCACAATGTTGATTTCATTAGAATTCAATATCGTGTTGGATCATTTACATCAATAAAATCATTCACGAGGCAGCATGTAACAATCCAAAATCTTTTTTTTCCAGCAACTTAATCAGCTGATTTAAAGTCTCTGTTATGGCGCATCTGTTTCGAAATCCTTGATAACCTTGTGTTTGGAGATGATGTGGAAGACTCCAGAAAGCGGACATGGCCGAATCCGTAGTTTTTATCAATATTCCTATTTTTTATGTTGTGGTCGTCTAGATTTCAAACATTTGATGTGGAATAGTAGAACACCTGTGAAATGTAAATGTGATCACTGCTAAGTGCTAAGTGCTAACTGTTCAGTCTTCAGAAACACATTTCAGTAATTCAAGTTCTTTTTGTCCTTGCATTTTTGATGGCTGTATAATGATTTTTGTAGGCAATACTTCTTTGATTACAGGTGATATTTTAACAGTTAGACTGGAATAGAGTCAAAATTGTGTGTACTTGTGGGGCCAACTGAGTCAAAATCAGCCTGCTTGTAGTTGTGGTTGGACAATGGGGTGCTGCTGCCTGCTGGGTGGGATGGCTACTGAAGTTGCCAAAATGTGGCATCTCTTGTAGCCTTTGGGGGAAATTTTGCAACTCTTTGTCATTAACATCCCAATAAATCTCATTTTAACGAGGCAAAAATGGAATACTTTCTCTTTTTGAAAATGGTTTCAATGGCAGGGTGACCGAAAGTGTCAGAATTTTGGGGGGCCTGACCGACCGATTACCGAATCGGTCAGCATATCTTTTCGGTAACCGATTGACACCACTAGTTTATATATCGTGGAGACTTACCTTTACTTGTTATTCATTAATTTTTCCCGCTAGTCTTTCGATAATTTATCGGAGAACGCATGCGGCGGTGACAACAACGCAGTGGAGGTCAGGGAATCAAAACGTTACTTTTTGTGCAAGCATAATTAGTGAATAGGTGACAAGAAGCTATCTTGTCGTGGCATAATCTCTGGTTGGCAAATCTGAGCACACTACGCCTATTATAGTAGGAAAATCCCTTGCAGGAGAAATCAACTGTAATATTCTGCGTCGTTTCATTCTTTGTGGTTCACCCGCTTAAGCGCACGCTAGCAAAAATTCATTCGTGAGACTTATCGTTTGATTAAATTTAAGCATATGGAATTAAATGAACTACATTTCTGATTCACGCTTTGGTTTTTGAGCTGATTGAAGATAAAACTAAATAAGCTTCTTTGACGCATCGCTTGATTGTTTGGCATAGGATTAGACGCCGTATTTATCTCCCCAATAGCGCAAGGACAGCCAGGCACTTAAAGAGTGGCAGCATATAAACCGAAGCGCCAAGCTGCAATCCGACAGGCATTGACAACCAGACCGATCAGTCACCCTACATCAGGGTGCGAAAACCTGCACAGAAGCGTGCACAGTGAAATTGAGCTAAGCAGAATGAAGTGCACACTGCACAGCGATATAATGCGGGTATAACAAGACAATAACTGAAGGATTTCAACAGGTAACCTGATACAATTGAGGAGGACAAAACCTGTTAGCGAGCTAACCATACAATGAGTAAGATTGCAGGGTAAAAGGTGTACCACAACTATTGTGGAGGATGTCATCTTTTTTGCAAACGACCAACGACAATCAATTTCTACCAGTCATGCAGCCAAGTACAGTTGAGAGAAGAACTAAAAGGTCACTGTCGATAACGAGATTGTTCGATACCCATTTTATCTGGGCCAGCTACTGCTCCAGGACAGGTCACGGTCACTGGCACTGCGTGATTCCCGTTCGTCCGCTCCATCGTCCCGCCCCCCGCAGTCTCCACCCATCTGTCGGGCGGGTCCGGTCACGGGCGGCGGTGGGCGGGTTTCGCTCAAAGGGGCGGGGCTGGGTCCGTCTCGCTCGGTGCCCCTGCGGTGCGGTCGTTCTGCGTCGATAGGTCACAGATGGGATTAAGAGGCCGCCGGCGCCCGTTGCACCACGGCGGAGGGCGCAGCTGTCACCGACGCTGGCCGGACGGCCCGCACAAGGTCATGGTCCATATAATAATACGGCGCCGCCGCTGGGCCGGCCGTGGACCACGCCCCACCACGGCCGGGTCACGGCCCGGCTCCGAGCCGTATAAAGCCGCTCCGGTCCGCAGGTCGGCATCAGTTGATCACACAGCTCCACAGCACTCTCAACATGAAGGTAAGTGCAAGGTAGAAACAAATCTGCAACAATCTACAAGAGCAGAAACTAGAAAGTTATATTGCAAGAAAAGAAACATCTAACTATGTGTCTCCTTAAATCAATTTTATTCTAGTTCACAATAGAATCAATAACTTTTTCGTTTAAGAAACATAATTATCCATCCCGATCATTTATAAATGGCCTCATTGTATAACCTGCCTAAATATTTTGTGCACTACAGCAATAGGATCACGGGAAAACGTGTCATGACAAGTGCTGTTCCTTGTGCTTCAGTTCTTCGTGGTTGCCGCCCTGCTGGCCGTTGCCGCCGCCGACAGCGCGCCCTCCTACGCGCCCAGGCCCGCCTACCACCCCCAGCCGGCCTACAAGCCCGCTCCCTACCACCAGGACAGCTACGACCAGCCGCCCAAGTACGACTACAGCTACGACGTCCACGGATACGGAGACTACGAGCCCGTCTTCAACGCCCAGGAGGCGCGTGACGGCTACGCCACCCAGGGATCTTACTCGGTTGTGCTGCCCGACGGCCGTACCCAGACGGTCACCTACCGTGTGGATGACGCCTACTCTGGCACTGTTGCTGACGTCACCTACGAGGGTGAGGCTCGCTACGACGAGTACAAGCCCAGCTACAAGCCCAGCTACCCTCAGCAGAGCTACAAGCCCACCTACAAGCCCGCCTACGGCAACTAAATTCTTAATTCCACACAGTCCCCATAACGAGCTGGTTATTTGATATCTGTACCTGATTGCACGGTTGAATGTGAATGCCAAATGTGTGTTTATGTGTGCTTGCGTGCGCTTGTGGAGTGCCTCGTATTTATCGTGTGGGTGTGAAACATGATAATACAAACTTCGCACAGTCAACTAGGATTTGAAGGAATGTTCATCTGCACGGATTCGCAGTCGACAAGCTACTTAAGAAGTTCTAAAAACATAAATTAAAGTGAACATAAAATTTTATCAACGTACATAAATAAGAAATGAAAACTTGAACCTTTAAAGTAATACGCTTACTCACTCTCGCATCGGACTATCGCGTGCATGCCATATTTTGCAGCATTTAGTCGGTTTGCGGCAGGACGGGATTACACCAAAACGTATGGTTTTTAAAACCAATAAAACAAGGCCCTAACACATACAGTAAAACGCCTTTCGGGGCGACAAACGAACGAGCGAGAGGGTGAGCCTTACACGTGCGGAATTGCGAGGGGTACAGTCCACAGCAGAAGTAATGTGGGGTTTCAGTCATGGGTATGTTCTGCTTCTGAAGCTTAGGAACGATTAGCCAGACTACAATGAAACTTTGAATGTAGCTTATATGTATCGTCACCCTTGCAGCTGCAACTTTAGCTATTGACATCTTCTTTTCGATCACTCCGCATTAAACAATCGCCAGTCTAAGCCAACCGTTGAGATTGGTAAAACCCTACATTACTTTAGCGGTGGGCTGTACTTCCAAATGACTTGGCACGGCGCCCCACTAACCGGTCTCAAGCGATGTGCCAAATTTGAGCGCAATCGGCCCAGGCGTTCTTCAGATCAGGGCCTCGTTTCATAGAGCTCTGCCGTAACTTACACCTTTCCGCAATTAACACCCTTTCAAGCTACGGAGCGTAAATAAAGCCGTTTTATAAAGCCACAAGTCTGGCCACAACTGGATATGTTTACACCTCCGTAACATAAGCACGTTTGCGTAGTTGCCTTTAATTATGAAGCGTCCTACAAATTAGAATTTTATGTCAACACTAATTTTTAAAAAGAAATTATTAACAAAAATGTTGCTTTTAAATCGTTAAAAATATTTATGAAAAAAATATGATCTTGCTGGTCATACTTTATTGAATCAATATATTGTAAAAAAAAACATAAAGCCAGCTTAAGCAAAAGTACCTAGCTGCAAAAGTGGCGCGGTGCGGCGAATAAACAATATTCCGATAGTGGCAAGGCCATAAAAGCGACTGGTAGGTACAGAAGATTTGCAGTTTCTTGGCTCTTCATTCTCCTTCACCGAGCTCAACATGATCAATTAGACCAAAAATGTCCATACCATTAACTTCGAATCTTCACATTAATTCAAATTCACGCAACAAATGTGTTCGTTGTTTACACCACTGATATCAAGAACTTGATAAAGCCGCCTCTGACAGCTTCGTAACATGCTACGAAGGCACCAAAACTACTTCGTAAATGTTCAAATAGTTTCTAAATTCGAATTCAGCTCCAAAAACTAGCCTAGTAACATATAAAGCTCGAAAAAGTGAACCGAGGTCACCAAAGGTCATTGACCTGACCTGACCTTCAGGCGACCTTGACATCCACCTAAATGCATGGGAGCAACATCAAATCACATGTTTTAACGTTTGAAACCACGAGAAGCTTGCAAACGCGCGGCTAATGCGAGCCGAAATACGCCGCATCACGATTCCGGCCAAACATGGCCTCGAGAAATAGGTTACGGGTCAAAGGTCACTTGGGTCAGGGTCATGAAATTTTCCTTGTTACTACTACAGAGGTCTCAGCCAGGGAAAATCGCTGTTCTCAAAGGGGAGGGACCTCAGCCAGTCACTACTCGATTCTGACAGCGATGAGTGAAATGCCGGAGCCGCTAGCCCAGTGACGTTAAAGGGACCCTCCCGCCTTCAAAAAGGTTGACGAATTGGCATAAAGGTGATGTATCGCGATTCACAAAGAGCAAAAATAAATGTCTATCAAATTTCACCAAAAATGTTCACCGGTTTTTGAGACATTACACAGATGAGATTAAGATGAGATATTATACTTTTAATTTTGTTCATTTTGGGGGGCCTCTGCTGTTCCTATGACGTCATTAGTAAGCAATAATGTGGTATCTTAAAAGTGCGGCAGATGTTGCGCGCAAACAGTATATACCACCACTGCTTCACAAATATGCTAGAATACGATTTTAAAATCGCTAGATCTGACGATCTGACGCTGACGTCACTAATTCAAAGGGGGCATTCAAATGCATTAGTCCCTCTGAATCCAAAGTGCTGCAACTTTGAAATAAAATATCTCCGAATTAAAGCCTTTCTCGATGTTGTGAGTGCCCAAACCGGTAAGTGCAAGCCAGGGACCCAAATTTGGCTACCTCAACTCAAAACTAATGTTAACCCGCGCCCCGCTGGGATGGGGCAGAATCTGCCCCCCTCCCGTTTTTCGCCAATAACTTCTAAACGCGTTACGCCAGCGACGTCAAACTTTCAGTACCTTATCATACATCAATTTGACACGTTCCCTGAAAATTTGAGCGAAATCCGTCGGAATTTTTTTTTGAGAAATTGACGTTTTAGTGACGTCATGTTCGCCATTTTCGCTTAAAAAACGGCAAAATTTCAAACGCCGCTAACATCTTCATTTTTAAAGGAATCAAGACGTATCAAAAAAGGTTATACGTGATTCTACGTTGTCTATCAAATGCTTATCTCGGTTGTTTTGAAAATTTTGGATTTTAGCCCAAATTTTTTTCAAAAAACTGACTTTTTTGGAAAAATAATTATAAATCCAAAATTTTGAGTGTATCGAAAAAACCGGAATATATGACAGAGAAGTGGTCTATGTGCACCTACATACCAATTTTTAGAAGAATCAGTTCAAAAATGTGGGAGTTATTCAAAATTTTATGACGTCACGACATACAAAACTTTTGAAAAATGATTTTTTTGAAGTTCTAGACCTCGTACGGAAACAAAAATAGCACCATTCGATTCACCGTGAAAAACTGCATCAGATAGACACCTTTTTAGGCCTTAACAACCAACTTCAAATTTTGACCTCACTTGACCTGACCTCGACCTGACATTCATCCAGAGGTGGTCCATATCACTTATTGAGTGTGCCTATTGAATTCTATGAATAAAATGACCCATAAAACATGTGTCGCACATGCCCTTTTCTATATTTTGTTTTTGGTGACCTGACCTGACCTGACCTGACCTGACTTTGACCTTGACCTTTGAATGACATTGTATGCAACGAATGTTGTCTTGGTAGTCTAAGAACACGTTTTGGGCAATCAGTCTCAGTCCATTCTTCGGCAACTACGGTGCAAGGCCGATACTGTAGAAACTTGCATTTTGTACCCTTGACCTGACCTTGACCTGACCTCTGACCTACTTAAGCAAAACAAATTTGGGCTCTTAAGATCCGCCTTGTTGAGAGCTTTCGATTGCCGTTTTCCCCGTCTTTCTACGACCATCGGTTCGGAAGTTAGACAGGGGGCAGAATCTGCCCCCCCCCCCCCCCCCAGCAGGGCGCCTATGGCTGAATAAAATAGCCCAGCGGGGCGCGGGTTAAAATGGGATGGTCACTTTATTCCCTGGGCCCTGACAAGACTGTGGTGCCCCTGACAAGCCTGAAGTGCCTCCGCTCCGACAGGTCCGTGCCCTGTGGTGCCTCTGACAGGCCCATGGTACCCCTGCGAGGCCGGTGGTGCCCCTGGCAGGTCTCTGGTGACCCCTGAGGTGCCTTCAAAAGAGGACGTGGGGCCATCAGAAGCGGCTATATGAGCGCCCCTGCGAGGCCGGTGGTGCCCCTAGCAGGCCTCTGGTGACCCCTGAGGTGCCTTCAAAAGAGGACGTGGGGCCATCAGAAGCGGCTATATCACCGTTGGCATTGGGCCAGGAACTGCATGGGCCTCTGCTGTGAGTTGTGACCCAAAATAAGGCTCTCGAATGTCGAAATGGGACCTTCAGAGACAGGTAGGGACCCTCACCTCAACGGCCTGAGGCCGTAGGCACCCAAAAAGCAGTCGGAGTCCCCCAGATGCCGAAATAGACCCATTTTGCGCCCTTGGAGGCCAGCGCGGGCCCTCATAGGTCGATGTGAGCCCTCTGAAGCCGGTGAAAAACCTCAAAGGCCATCATAAGACCATCGGGCCACTGGCCAGTATGGGACTCGATGGGCAATTTCGACCTTTGGAGACCGGCGTGGGCCCCAGGGACGTACCCAGGGGTTGGGGCCAGTGTTTGCCATGGGCCGGTGATCACCAGCATTTCTACACCACGCGAAACACCGCCAACTGCCAACTGCCGCGCCACAAACACGTGCCAACAACAGTTTTTTTTAAGGTCGACTCCGTTCGCGCAACTTTTGACTGACCCTCACTGCTACCATATTGCTTCCATATTATGCTGCGCAAAGCTTATCTTCACCAAGTGGCTAAAAACCTCCATCAAGGTACATTTTCTTAGCAATTTGCCTCCAATTTTCTTAGCAATTTGCGTCCATGCTCTTCTGACGTTTTTTTTTTGTTTGGGGGGGGGGCAAACAGGCCACTTTAGGCCTGGGGGCATGGCCCCAAATGCCCCCCCCCCCTGGATCCGCCAGTGCACTTCAAGGCTTTATCATCAGCTGACAGGGCTCCCAATCGAACAAAAAAAGGCAACGCAGCGACGCAGGTTTCAGACATTGCACGCAGAGAAAAGAAGAAGCGCTCGGCGCAGGCTGAGATTTCATGAAGCGGTTGAAGATAAGTAACCAATTTGCATTCTCCTCTGCACCAGACCCATTTCATTAAATATCTACAGACGCATCGTTAGCTAGTCGTGATCCGACACCTCCTCCAATGGAACCCGCTCTCAACGTGACTGACAGAAAACACGCAAATACAGCGTCAACAACAAACTACCCCGATATCTCCCGGCATCCCCGATCACGATCGGTCGACTCCGACCTAGGGGAATAGCCCATCGTCGGTCACGCTGATGTCAGTCGTACGCCGCTGTGACCATATCACACCTCTCTGGCCACCATCAGCCACGTCGTCCGTCACCGACGCCGCAGATCGACGGCTGATCGCAATCAGAGCCCCTAATGAGCATGTGCGGATTAATTTACGATTATGTAGAGTGGCGAAATGGCCCGGTCGGGTCACGCGCTGCGTCGTCAGCGCTGAAGGACGTGACATCTGCCCTCAGCGCTGACCCCGCCCGGTCGGAATCTGATCGCACGGGCTCGTGCGCCAGCGCGTGCGACGCATCTACATAATTCACCGGAGACATTGAGTGGGTAACGACAACAAAATTTATAGAGACGCACGGTAGAGGTGATGTTTCAAGCACGGCTGAGGAATATGCATTAGGAGTTACTTGATAGCGTGATATGCACTTGAAAACACAACTTCCCGTTGGTCTCGAACAACTCTTCACAATCGAAAACAGTTATGCCTTCGTTTTGACAAGTTGGAACTACAGCCTTAGCCGCCTGATTTACTCGGCCCAGCTCTGGGGAGTCCCAGGAGTTTCACCTCAGTTCTGCTGATCGCCGTAGCCACACTGTCCTAGCTCTGATGAAGGTGAATCAGCTTACTCCGCAGTTGGATCGCATCCGGTCCCCGTACTGATGGCCGCCGCAGCAGCTCGGCCTCAGATCTGTCCCCTCAGCGGCTCGAAGTCATTTCTGTCACCACAGCGGCGCGGCCACCCAGCGCGCACTCCGACCGCGGTCCCGGCCGGCTCCCGACGTCGATAACCCTGCCGCTCCGATACCATCTGGTCGACCGGCGCTCACGCGTCGGCCCCTGATCAGGGGGCACCCGAGGAGGGGTCGCGACCTGACCGGGAAGGGGTCGCGACCTGACCGGGCGCTTTGGCCGCGCCGTGCCGGCCACCAGTCCGGACCTATATAGGCGGTCACCGCTCTGCAGAGGCCATCAGTCCGAGTACAGTGGATTCTGAGCGCAGGGGTGTTCCGTCCCCAGTCCCTAGAGCAGCGAATCGAACACCAGCCACAATGAGGGTGAGTTTCCAGTGGGAATTTCTCGGGAAAAGGGGTTTTGTGGAATTCGCGTAGTCTAGGTCACGGACATGTGATAAATAACATCATGATTATTATTTTGTGATTGGGCCGATGATAGCAAAGACAAGTTTGAAGTCAACAAAGTCATTTCTTTCCATATTTCTATTCTGACGTTAACTTATGTCCGTTTCTTGCAGGGATTGACGATATTCGTCATAGCGCTGGGAGTGGCGGCCACTGAAAAACTGTCAACCTCGTCTGCTTCGCACGACCATAGATCGACTGAAACCGCGGCGCAACAGCATCCGACACATACAGCGGCATCTCAGAGACAAAGTGCAGCTGGTTCTAGCTACAAAGAGCCAGCAACAGGATACCAGCAGCCATCAACCAGCTATGACAAGCTAGCGAATTCTTACAAGGAACCCTCCGACAGCTACCAGCAACCTGCATCAAACTACCAGGCACCGGTATCGGACTACAAAGAACCTTCTTCCAGTTACCAGGCACCATCATCGGACTATAAAGACCCTTCCTCCAGTTACGAGACAGCCTCAACCAGCTACCAAGAACCGTCTTCGGGCAATAAAGAACCTTCTTCTAGTTACCAGCAGCCTGCATCAAGTTATCAAGCACCGTCTTCGGACTATAAAGAACCTCTTTCCAGCTATCAAGCGCCTGCATCAAACTACCAGGAGCCGGCTTTAGCCTATAAAGAGCCTTCTTCCAGGTACCAAGCACCCTCTACCAGCTACCAAGCACCTTCTTCGGACTATAAAGAACCTCTTTCCAGTTACCAAGAACCCGCATCGAACTATCAGGCACCGGCATCAGAATATAAAGGACCTTCCAAATACCAAGAACCCGCAAATAGCTACCAAGCACCGTCTTCAAACTACAAAGAACCTGCTTCCAGTTACGAAGAGCCTTCTTCTGGTTACCAGCAACCAACTGGTGACTACAAAGAACCCGCAACCGTCTACAAACAGCCAACATCCAGCTACGTCCCCACACCAACTGTGATATACCGACAGCCAAGCTCCCAAGAGACTGCCACTAGCTACCGGGTACCTTCAGCAAGTTACGCGGCCCCGACTGCGACACCCGCGTACAATGTGGCGGTTACCCAGACCAAGATAGCATCTGGCTACCAACAACCCACGTCCAGCTTCTCATCACCCACAGCGCACTCACAAGGCAGTAACTCGGCAAAGTATGAATACAGATATCGAGTCGACGGAGATGGGTACACATCACCCAAGTTCAGCGCACAGGAGGCGCGTGACGGATACGCCACCCAAGGATCTTACTCGGTTGTGCTGCCCGACGGCCGTACCCAGACGGTGACTTACACAGTAAACGGTGACCAGGGCTATGTGGCTAAGGTGACGTACGACGGTGAAGCCATGTACCCAGATGCTACCAAAAAGAAAACGTATGAAACGGTAGCCACTTACAGGCCCAAACCTTCCTACCAGTCATCCACTCCCAAAGCCCCAACTCAGATCTATCAGTCCGCCGCTACACCGGCTTTACCATACCAGCCCGCCCCTACACCCGATCCCTCCTACCAGCCGGCACCCTCCCCCAACCAGCAGTATAAGCCCGCACCCACACCCGCCCCCTCCCCCAACCAGCAGTATAAGCCCGCGTCCACACCCGCTCAGACCTATCAACCCGCTCCAGAGCCCGCTAAAGTTTACCAGTCTCCCTCGAAACCCGCTCAAGCGTACCAGCCTCTCTCCAAACCGGCTGAAAGTTATAGTCCCCCTGCCAAGCCTGCTACAGCCTACTCATCTCCTCCGAAAAATGCCCCAGCCTACGAGTCTCCATCCAAGCCCACTGAAAGCTACAATGCTCCCGCTAAACTTAAACAATCCTATCAGTCACCTTCCAAACCATCCTCATCTTATCAGTCTCTATCCAAACTTTCTGAGAGCTACCAGCCTCCCTCTAAGCCTGCTGCGACCTACCAACCTGCCCCAGCCTACACCCCTAAGCCTACAGCAAAGCGTCCTGCTTACAGCAACCCCAATTATAAACCTGCTCCCACCTACCCACCGTCCTACCAGCCCGAGCAGACATATCCTGCACCTTTGCCTGCCTACGGATGAGCATCGCCCTTCCTCCGATATCAACTAGGTGTGGCACTGTAAATAATCGAAAACAGGTTCGCGTTTTATAATAAATCCCAACATTCCGTCACCACGCAAATAGGCACGTGACAGCGCGAATAACATATTCATTGTTTTGTGGGTGAGGTTTGGTTTGAGGGTTGATTGATAAATACAACTGTTGTCAGCTATGAAATTGTTTGTGAAAGCGATTCCAGACAGCGTGTATGCTCGCATGACTAGTGAGTAGTGCAAGTACGTTTATGAGGAGCAAGTATTTTCGTGTTCAAAACTCCACCTAGCAGAAATGTAGCTTATTGAAATGCATGAGCCATTCAGACCCTCGCTGCACTCAGAACAGTGCGCAGCTCCATTTTGGAGCCTACTCAGACCGGCACTGACCCCCACATAATATCAAGGGGCCAAGACCGGTGACCCACCTGCCGGAGGTGTCTCTCGATAATTTCAACTGGGTGGGCGGGCGGAGTTCACTGACCCCTCTCAGAAGAACATACCTGAAACAAAGAAAGCAGATGGTTAGAAAAAAGATTGTCGTTTGCAGAAAAAGGATTGTTCGAAAAACTCGCTTTTTCTCCTTCTAAGCCATCATAGACAATGGCAAGCTTACGCGTCCACAAGCTACGCACATGTGGATGTGGTATCGTACAAACATCAGATTCAACCGCTTCATCCATAAATTTATTGGCAAATAATTGACGGGTTAAACCCAAGCCTCTTCATTCGGCTCGAGCAATAATACCCCTCAATTCTCATTCATAGCCACTTGTGTTCTTTTTGGGCCGTTTCGGTCCAATGAGACTATTCTAGGGCCCATGGGATGAGAGGATAAGACGGAGACAATAGATCGAGTCGACCACCGGCTTGTGCGCAGCAGTGGCTGAGCCCATCCCCATGGGACTCAGCACAGCCTCGCCCTGGTGGGACAGTACGACCGGACACCCGCCCGGCGCCCACCCACCTGCGCGCTGCGCGCTGCTGGCGCAGCGCGACGCCAGCGCTAAGCGGCGCGGCGCCGAACTAGAAACTCAGTACATCAAACAGATGGCGCCAGACAGTCCAGTGCAGGCAATGCACTAACGTGGCACTAACCTTCTGAGCAATATGTACCGCTTCAGCGGAACAAACTTTCCGAAAATCCTACCACAAAAAAAAATCATAGCTAATCATTAGGGTGTCCCAAATTTCACGAAGTTTTCCAATTCGCTTAGGATACACCGGGATCCCGTTCCTTGGTTCATTTGAACCTTACACACCAATTTATAGAGTAAACTACCGGTAAACAAGGTTGCCGCTAGTGCTCTGAAGTTTTATTTGCATTTTGGTGTTATATGATAGTGCAGCGTTGTAGTCTCCGAATGCAAAATGGGAAATATGTGTGAACAACGTAGCAATATTACCTTCTCCGATGCTCAATGATGCTCAGATCCCACACACATTGCACAATGATGAATATCCGGGTATATGTACGCATACATACGTGTTTAACTGTGTGTGCGCGTGCCCGTATGCCTCCGTGCGTGTGTGTATGTGTGTATGTGTGTGTGTGCGCGCGCGCGACTGCGTGCGTGCCTACTGGAGAGAAGGCAATGCCCGTTTTAATCTTGGTGTGAGTAATCTTTTAATCTTCATGTGCCGCTGATTTTGTTAAGGAGTAAGTGATCAAATAAAGGTATCAGGTTGTTACTTCAAATGTCTCGCTTCAGTTCGAAAAGTCTGAGGCAATGGCGCACCACATAAACGCAGATTGAACAGAATCAAATTTACATTGCAGCTATGGGTATTAAGTTCACCGTACCCTGTCCTGAGACCGTCCACGCGCAACATCACCGTACCCTGCTCCGAGATCCGTCTAAACAAACATCATGCCTTGCTCTGAAAACCGTCTGAAACATCGTACCCTATTCTGAGATGCGTCTAAAGCATCGTACCCCATTCTGAGATCCGTCTTAAACATCATACACTGCTCTGAGATCCGTCTAAAACATCCTACACTGTTCTAAGGCCCAGCTACACTCTAAAGTCTACACATAACGTCATCGCAACTTGCTATAATATCTGTCTACCACTACAGACCCACGTGGTCCTTCTTGGTGTGACCGTAAAGCGACCTGTGCCATGCCACCACCTGGGCCAGCGCCTGCAGCTGGTCCTCATCTTTCGTTCTGTCCATCATCTCCTGTGCCAGCTTCACTCCGCGATCCGCTCCCTCATTCACAACTGCCAGGCTGTTGTATTTGTGAACTGCGTTGTAACCTGAGATACTTTTCCATTTTTGACAGGCTCTTGCAACCATTTGAGGGCGCACTAATCCAGAATCTGGATGAGTGCGCCCTCGAATGGTTGCACCGGGCACCCGGCTATGAGAATCATAGGCACTCATCCATAATATGGATGAGTGCGTTGTGAATGATGTTGTGAATGATGGAGCGGATCGCGGAGTGAAGCTGGCACAGGAGATGATGGACAGAACGAAAGATGAGGACCAGCTGCAGGCGCTGGCCCAGGGGGTGGCATGGCACAGGTCGCTTTACGGTCACACGAAGAAGGACGTTACATGGGTCTGTAGTGGTAGACAGATATTAAACAGAGTGCGATGACGTTACGTGTAGACCGTAGAGTGTAAATGGGCCTCAGAGCAGTGTACGATGTTTAAGACGGATCTCAGAATGGGGTACGATGTTTTAGACGCAGCTCAGAATAGGGTACGATGTTTCAGACGGTTTTCAGAGCAAGGCATGATGTTTGTTTAGACGGATCTCGGAGCAGGGTACGGTGATGTTACGCAAGGACGGTCTCAGGACAGGGTACGGTGAACTTAATACCCATAGCTGCAATGTAAATTTGATTCTGTCCAATCTGCGTTTATGTGATGTGCCATTGCCTCAGACGGTTCGATCTGAAGCGAGATATTTGAAGCACTAACCTGAGACCTTTATTACGGAGCGAGCGAAGCGAGCGTAGTCTTTCCTTAGATTAAAGGGACCCTCCCACCTTCAAAAAAGTTTATGAATTGGCATGAAAGTGATGTCGCTCGGTTCAGAAAGAGCGAAAACGAATAGGTATCTACCAAATTTCACCGAAAAATATTCACCGGTTTTCAAGATATTAGACTTTTACTTTTGTTTACTTTTTTGGGATCTCCGCTGTTTCTAGCGACTTTATTTTAGAAGTGCGGCGTTTGCGGCAGATGTTGCGCGCAAATAGCATACACCACCACGTGCTACAAAATGTTTTAGTCAAACATTTAAAAATCGTTAGATATCTGCGCTGACGTCACACATTCAGAGGGGTATTCCTAAGCATTAGCCCCTCTGAATCAAAATGCTGCAATTTTGAAATTCAATATTTCCGATTTAAGGCATTTCTCGATGTTGTGAGTGCCGAAACCGGTAATTGTGAGCCAGGGACCCCATTTTGGCTATCTCAACTCAAATCTAATGTTAAGGTGGGAGGGTCCCTTTAACGGAAATTTCTGAGTATGAGCGGCCGGCCGGCCGACCGGCCGGCCGGCCGGCCGGCGGACGCTTTTGCGAGGCTTATATCTCAGCAACCACTTGACCGATTTACACGCGGTAATTTTTGTAGGGTAGCTTCATTCCTTCTACCAAGTATTGGACTATTCTCGATGCATGTGGGTGACCCCTTATGCACGTGCCACGTGCAAAACGAAGAGGTGTCAGTTTTGTAATTGCTGCAATATCTCGGTAACTACTTAGCCGATTGCGCTGAAAGTTGGCATGTAGGTAGGCAGCCACTAGGCACTGCATATCCATGTGCCAGAGTTGAGGTGCTGCTGCACGTGCGCACGTGGAGGGGTCGTTTCCAGATCTCGAGAACGGCTGGACCGATGGCGCTCAAATTTGGTACACGGTTAGGGACCAGTAAGTAGGGTGCCGTGCACAAGTCAGTTGGGACCCATTTTGCACGTGCGCACGTGCAGGGTGTCGCTTCCAGATCTCGAGAACGGCTGGGCCGATTGTGCTCAAATTTGGCACATCGCTAGAGACCGGTTAGTAAGGTGCCGTGCGCAAGTCAGTTGGAGGTACCCCCTCGAAATTTCGCACGTGCAAGGCCCACCCTCTCGCTCGCTCCGTTACTCGCCCCAAAAGGCGTTATACTGGTTTGATCTCTTACTCCTAAACGAAATCAGCAGCACATGAAATCACCCACACCAAGATTAAAACTGGCATTGCCTTCTATCCGGTAGGCACGAACGCAGTCGCGCGCGCGCGCGCGCACACACACACATATATACACACACGCACAGAGGCATACGGGCACGCACACACACAGTTTCACACGCATGTATGCGTACATATACCCGGATTTTCATCATTGTGCAATGTGCGTGGGATCTGAGCATCACTGAGCATCGAAGAAGGTAATATTGCTACGTTGCTTACACATATTTCCCATTTTGCATCCGGAGACTACAACGCTGCACTATCATATAACACCAAAATGCAAATAAAACTTCAGAGCACTAGCGGCAACCTTGTTTACCGGTAGTTTACTCTATAAATTGGTGTGTGATGTTCAAATGAACCAAGGAACGGGATCCCGGTGTATTCTAAGCGAATGGGAAAACTTCGTGAAATTTGGGACACCCTACTAATCATGACACAGGTCAGTCGAATCTGTAGTAAAACAAAACCGCAAAAACAAGAAAAATTGGGATTATATCAATAAAGACATATAAATTTCACATGCCTATCATTTACTGAGACTGACCAATAATATCAAACCCCGAAAGCTAACGTCTCTTTGAATACCCAGACCTACCGACTCTTGCCCTTATCACCTATAGGTACTGTTAACTCCGGATAAGAAAAAAAAACTGAAGGTATGGAAGTGTGGCTCACAAAAACAGGCTCGTTTTTCACGTCAACAATAAACGGCGTTGCCAGGATGGTATGAAGTTCCATACAATCATAAGATTTGACATATTTTATAAGGGACAAAAATGTGGCAGCCAGCCGTCGTAGAGTTAAATTCATCCAGATGACTAGCGTTATCAAATAAGCATGAAACAGCAACGGTGGTGCGTTGAAACCCTGTCGAACACTTGCAACAGAAGGGCAAAAATGAGGCTTAAAATGATAAAGGTTTACACGCACTTCCACCTCAGGGTCAACCCATATACCATTCACCGAAAGCGTTGCGAAAAAGGACCATGGCGACTACAAAAACAACAAATTTTAAGTGGCATGCTTCAACCTCGTCGTGTTAACGATACCCTAGTAAGGTTACCTTATGGGTCGTAATTTACGATAAATAAGATCATTTCAGCACCATAATTGCAATATACATTGGTTTGGTTCCTGTTCCCTCTCACATACATTTGATGCGTTTGAACAGACATGCCACATTTCCAACTGTAATTAATGACCCAGGGTCGGTCACTGCTTGCCCCACGGCCGACCGTCCACCATCAGTCCCGGTACGGTCTCTCACTCCTCCCCTCTCGCCTGGCGCTGCGCCGCCCCCGGCAGGGTCACCACCACTGGCGGTCACCGCAGCTGGACCGTGTATAAAACACGGCTCCACACCGCACCCACCATCAGACGATCACACACCGCCAAACTACCAATAACATGAAGGTGAGGGGACGGGAAAACCATTTGAATATAAGAGTGAATTCAAGGCGCTGTGGTAGCGTTCTTTCAGATCCAGAGCTTTAAAAACTCGTGTTTAGCAATGAGTATATTAAAGATGTTTTCATGCAAAAGAAATATCGAACTTGCATTGATTATGATGTTCTCGTTTCAGTTCTTCGTGGTTGCCGCCCTGCTGGCCGTTGCCGCCGCCGACAACGCGCCCTACACCACTCCGGCGCCCACCTACGCCCCGACCTACAAGCCCACCTACGCGCCCAGGCCCGCCTACCACCCCCAGCCGGCCTACAAGCCCGCTCCCTACAAGCAGGAGAGCTACGACCAGCCGCCCAAATACGACTACAGCTACGACGTCCACGGATACGGAGACTACGAGCCCGTCTTCAACGCCCAGGAGGCGCGTGACGGCTACGCCACCCAGGGATCTTACTCGGTTGTGCTGCCCGACGGCCGTACCCAGACGGTCACCTACCGTGTGGATGACGCCTACTCTGGCCTCATTGCTGACGTCACCTACGAGGGTGAGGCCCGCTACGACGAGTACAAGCCCAGCTACAAGCCCGCCCCGGCCTACAAGCCCGCCCCGGCTTACAAGCCCGCCCCAACCTACAAGCCCGCCCCTACCTACAAGCCCACCCCCGCCTACAACTAGAGCCAAGTCAATATTGAGCTTACTTTAATGTTTGCCAACGCGTGCAGTGTCTCTTATGTATGCCTGTGTATTTATTGAAAAGCGAATGCGAGTCAATAAAAAAAAATGATTACACGCATATGGTGCGGATGAGATGTCAACATGAAAGATAAGTGTCCAAATGTGATGAAGTGACGTACCGACTAAAGAAAATGGTCATACGAGCAACGTACGACTATAAGACTTTATATAGCAAGATCTTAACGTAGCTGAACAATGCTTGATTCCACCCGATGGCGAAAAATCACATAAATGGATCTGTTTCTACTAAACACCTTTGTGCAATCTGTCAACCTCCAAATTCGCCCTTCTTAACCCAGATTCTGACCTGGCGTTTACATTATCCCCTGCTCAAATTGGCGTCACACGACACAGACGATACTCCCATACAACACCAATAAAACTGGCCAGAAAATATGCGTCGCATGACGAATAACAATATGCTATGCAAACACCTTTTATAAGCCGTTTGCTATTGGAACATGTTCGAAATCGCCTAGTCAGTACTCAGTTCAAATTGGCAAAAGCATAACCAACACTGGGTCCACTTGAGCCCTGCTCTAAATATGCTAAATTTCGAGTTTGCACTGTCGTTTGACATACGAAGTTCAAACTTAGGAACGCTGCGGCCTCTCTGATCTCGCAAATACCTTTCAGAGATGATTAGCTAGAGAGAAGGGTGGGGGGGCGGCGTTATACTCCGTTTACTCGGTCAGACCCGCACTTAGCTAAGCACAGGTATCCTAACCAGCTGCAACTGACTAATTGTGACTTACTGAATGAAATACAAATACGTTCAACAAGGTTAGCCCGCGCCCCGCTGGGGTCTGCCGAGCAACGCGCCCTGCTGGGGGGGGGGGGGGCAATTTGGCCCACCCCGGTAAGATCTCGAGAACCACGCAACATAGCGACAAGCGGCAAGCGGTGTTGGATAGCCCTACCAGCGAACTACCTTGTGACCCAGTTTCATTCACCTAGGTCAAACCGATGACGTCACAGGTCAGGTCAAATGCCGAATTTTCACCGTTTCCAGGCATTTCAAGAAATAAATGCGTTATAAAATCGAGTAAAATGCATTTCATTGAAAATCATCGGTGGGGAAATGTTCGTCAAACACATATTCTGCTATATGAGGTCACGGATACCATGTCAGGTCACAGAGGTCTGGTCACTGAGGGTAACAATATGAAAATAACATGTGATGCATGTTTTATGGTCCATTTTATATCCCAAATACGATTATGTGGGTCAGGTGGCCTTTGGGGTCAGGTTAGATTATGTTCTGGTGAAGGTCAGGTCAAGGTCAGGTCAAATTAGGTCAAATTTCAAAGTTGATATTTTTGCATAAAATGAGTATCGATTCGATGCAGCTCGTCACGGGGAGTTCAACGGTGGTCTTTGTTTTGAGCTACGTGGTCTAGAATTGCCAAAAATTGAGTTAAAATATTGGACGTCATCAATTTTGAGTTTTTTTTTTTTGCTATAACTTGGCCAAAAAAGAAGGTATCGATCTAAAATTTGGTATGGAGATAGAAGAGGGTAGGGACTATCACATCTATTCCTGTTTTTCGATATTCGGGAAAATTTTGGGATTTTTTGCGTTTTTCTAAAAACAAATCAATATTTGATTTTTTTGGGAGTCAAAATCCAAAATTTTTGAAAACCCGAGGCAGCAGTTTTGTAGCACTGCCTTTTGTCTACATGACCATATAAAGAACTTTGAAATTGCTTGGTAATTGTAGTTTTTGTGAGCGTTTCAAGATTTCATGTTTTTTGCTCATTTTTGTTCGAGCATGACCTCAGTTTGACCTCAATAACTCCTGACCTAAAGTGACCTAAGACTTAAAATTTGTGTGATGGTGTCAAATTGAGGCCCGGGAAGGTACTGAAAATTTGGCCGCCGTTTTCTTGCTATTCAGGAAAAACCACAGGGGCGGGGCAAATTGCCCCCCCCCCCCAGCGGGGCGAGGGTTAGAAACGCACTTAAATTTCGATGATTTTAGTAAAGCAGATCCAGCTATGATTCCTTCAAAACAAGATTCACAAGATTGCTACTCGCAGAGTCTTATCAGGGAATGTCACCAACCTCATTCAAAAAGGTCGGCTACCTTCCTCAAAAAAGTATCGTAAGCGGAAGCATTTCTCAAACAACACTCATGCAGTAGCCGTATCACGTTGAGCGAAGAAAGATAAAAACTACCAGGTAGTTTATGTTAGCTATGGTTGCAGGAATTTGAGCAATGAGGTCGTAGGTTGTCTAAATCAGTGGTCGGCAGGTCCTCCGGGGTCGTGCCCCCTTTTTTGGCGCCAGGCAGGGCCATTACCCCCACCTACCAGACCCCATTGGTGATACAACCAAGGTTACTGAAATTCCATACTTTTCCGTGACTCTTTGGGTACCATATCTGCGAGAAACCGCTGCATTGAGTGACAGATCTCTTTCAAGCTTTCAGGAATTGATAAAGGCAACAACATGTACAAAATTTGTATCTCGGAGATTTGATGTCGGTGACTAAAGTTCAGGTCAATTTCACGCCCTCTCCCATTATCAATGGGAGAGGGCGCAAAGTCAATGGTAGAAAATTGAAAGGCGCCTGTTTTGGACCAGTGTCATTCCTAACACTGTGACACTCTTATTTACAAGTAAACATGACCGCTGAACCGGAAAACTGCACCCGTAACCCCACTGTATGTCCCTGAGGTCATTTCAGGTAATGAATGGTCTAACAGCTATTCGCTAATAACTTTGATAAAGGCATCCCAGAGCGATGAAAATGCCTTAGATGTGTTCAGCTCGACGATACGGGTCGACTGATGTGCAACAAAACCTTCGATGCTTCTCGACGGGAGGATCACGATGCTGATACAAGTGAGCTCTTGCAAGTTTTGAGTGAAAAGTTATTTAAGAAAAACTATCAGCAAGCAACGTACATTTTCAATTTTGGCAGCTTTTGTCTCCTGCAGGCTAAACCGTCTTCGGTTGAATCTGAGGACAGGCATCAGAAAAAACGTTAAGAGAGCTATCGAATGCGTTTTTCCGCAGCGCTGTAGCTCTATCCTTTCCTGAGCTATAGGCCAGTTTATCGAAAATTGTCAAAGGTTGACCTGGAACTTGGCGAAATTTTACGTTCGATGACCTCTGGTGACCTGACCTTTGATTTGACCTAAAAGGTGACCATAGTTTTTTCTTCATCATTTCTTACGCTCTTTCGATCGCCGACTACGGCGTTTCGCTAGTGAAACAGGAGCCAAGTTAATAGGGGGTGTTTAACCTCCATCTCCAGCAGGGCGTGGAAATCCAGGAGCCCCAGCGGGGCGCGGGTTAACCCCCATACGTATAGGTGTAGCGGGTATTTTTCGAGAATAGATCACATTAAAAGGGTCGGATCACGAAAAAAACTGTACCATCGAGCCGATCATTTTTATCTGTCCTGAAAATGGCATGACCTTAACCCGAATAACCGTTGATTTGTGAGATCTTTCTTGAGATCATGGCAGGCCACAAAATCTCACCTCAAGAAGTTACAGCAGGACCCGATTAACTCGGCAGTTGTTATTGACCTATGGAAGGTCACCCAATGACCCACGACCTTTAAATTGGGTAGCAGCAGCTGCTTATCTTCACGGGCAACACGCTCAATTTTTCTGCCAAGCTCCAGCTCAGAGACCGAGATGCTCAGGTCAGGGTGCAATGGACGACTCCTCTCCCTTGCGTTAGTGACTGTGAAAACGCCAATAGACGAGCGCCGGGTAGTACATGACAGTTACTTTCCACGACTGTACGGAATGGTGAGCAGCTACATGAAAATTGGCATGGGCCAGCTAATCAGTTCATGCTTTGTGCGTTTGACCTCGACTAATCTTTGAATCCTGGGGCACAATAGTTGCGATGTTTGTCCCATCAAGGGAGCCATTAATTCTAAAAAAGATGAGGCTTTCTCAGAGGCCCTCATTACCCCCCGCCGAAGGGCGCCATTACCCCCAAAGGGGGCATGCCCCACCATTTGCCGACCCCTGGTCTAAATTAATGCGGTATACTTTAGGCTATACAGGACATCGCTGCGGCATTTCCTACGGAGCCCTTTTCAGTCCTGCTATAACCTTTAAAAGACAAAGCTCCTGAGGTCTGGCGCTCGTCACGTATCTTGCGGTATTGGGGATTTTTCGCCATCGAGTGGAATCGAACATTGCTCAGCTACGTTAAGGTCTTGCTGTCCCAGGTTTAGTAGTCGTACCTTGCTCGTATGACCATTTCCTTTCGCTAAACCCCTTCAGCATCAATCGACACTTGTCCTTCATTTTCACATCTCATCCAGCACTATATGTGTAATAATCATTTGTTTTTATTGACTCGCATTCGCTTTGCAATAAATACACACCACACGTAAGACACACTGCACGGTTTGGCAGACAGTTTGAAGTAAGCCCATTATTGACTCGTGTCTAGTTGTAGGCGGGGGTGGGCTTGTAGGTAGGGGCGGGCTTGTAGGCGGGGGCGGGCTTGTAGGCGGGGGCAGGCTGGTAAGCCGGGGCGGGCTTGTAGGCCGGGGCGGGCTTGTAGCTGGGCTTGTACTCGTCGTAGCGGGCCTCACCCTCGTAGGTGACGTCAGCAATCAGGCCAGAGTAGGCGTCATCCACACGGTAGGTGACCGTCTGGGTACGGCCGTCGGGCAGCACAACAGAGTAAGATCCCTGGGTGGCGTAGCCGTCACGCGCCTCCTGGGCGTTGAAGACGGGCTCGTAGTCTCCGTATCCGTGGACGTCGTAGCTGAAGTCGTACTTGGGCGGCTCGTCGTAGCTCTCCTGCTTGTAGGGAGCGGGCTTGTAGGCTGGCTGGGGGTGGTAGGCGGGCCTGGGCGCGTAGGTGGGCTTGTAGGTCGGGGCGTAAGTGGGCGCCGGAGTGGTGTAGGGCGCGTTGTCGGCGGCGGCAACGGCCAGCAGGGCGGCAACCACGAAGAACTGAAACAAGGACATCATCGTCAATATAATTTCCATTTTTCCATTCCATGATACCTCTTTCACATACTCATTGCTGAGCACATGGGTTTTCAAAGCTCTTCAATCCATGAGAACATTAGGGCAGCGCCTTTAATTCAATCTTACATTCAAATGGGTCTCCCGTCCCCTCACCTTCATGTTGTTGGTAGTGAGGCGGTGTGTGATCGTCTGATGGTGGGTGCGGTGTGGAGCCGTGTTTTATACACGGTCCAGCTGCGGTGACCGCCAGTGGTGGTGACCCTGCCGGGGGCGGCGCAGCGGCAGGCGGGGTGTTGCCGGCTGCAGCAAATGGTATCCCAAGCTTGGACGTCTCAACATACCCGTAATCATTGGTAAGGTCTTCGATTTCTGAATTCATTCGCAACATCCCAAGTCTTTTCATTGATTAATAAAATATCCGAAAATAACCATGTTTCAAAATGCAAGCTAATTGGCGCATGATACGAGTATAAAAGTAAGAACGATAAAATTTCCATTCAGCGGGCATCTTGCAGGTTTTTCAATGTATGCGCAAGCATGAACACTGGCGGAACTAAAAGAAAGCCTCTTTCACCGCCGGGGGCATAACCCAAAGACGTAAAAAAATCAGGTTTCGCTCCCGTATGCAAGTTTAAGTGATCCTGATTGAGGTTAAGCATTCTTTTTATTCCAGAAAAACTCCATTGATTTCAGGCGATGATTCAGGTGATTTCAGGGGATTTGGTCGTATGCCCCAAAAGCCAGCTAGATCCCAAAGTGGGGATGTACGTGTAAATATGGGTACAGAAGTGTATCAGTGCATATATTTTGCGCAAGATTCACATTAACCCTATGTAGTGACTCAGTTCACCAGACATCTGGGCAGACAAACGGGACGGACATTGTGCAGCCAAGCGGCAACCAGGTAGTTGACAGGTACAGCCCTCAGCTCACTGCGTGGTAGGTGTTCTTTTTTCGACAAAACCGATAAATAACTCGAGAACCATGGAATCGGTCACTCGAATGCCTAATCACCAAGACGCGCGAGGCTCCACACCTTAGAGTAGGCTCATCGTGGTATAAAATTTCCACCCATTTGGCAACGATACACAGAAGTTTTTATTTGCCCCAAAACAAACTTTTGCCTTTTGTTGCCACACATGGTGTACAATTCATTTAATGATGCACACAATCAAAGAGTAGAGCATGGCAAATCTGTGCTATGAATTTCGATCAACTGATAACACTGCCCTCGAGCTATTATTGGTTTTGTTTAAAAAAGAATACCTACCGCGAGTGAGGTGAGGGCTGTACGCGAGTCATCAGCCACCGGTGCTTGGCGAAACGTTATTCATATGGTCCCTTTCGATCGTTAAATAGAAGAATCCCATGTAGCTATGGGTTCAACGTTTTATTTCCATCAGATTATTGGCAAATTGGATTTGAGTCAAACTAGAGTCCACCGGTTGGAATCGCGTTTTTTTAGATCAAAAACTGTTATTTGATTGCAGAGGTACTGTGGTATTAGGATTGAGACGTACTTGGCATCAAAAACTCTCACGTGACTTCGCCCAATCTTACCAATGCCGTAAATAGGATTTGGCAGCACTGGCCGGAGTTCACGGCTCTCGTATCAAAGATATCCCTTTTATTTACACCCAGCTAATCTTGTCCAATGATTTTGATAGCGTCAATGATTATAAATGTTGCCTGAATGAATGAATGAATGAATGAATGGGGAATAGTTCTGAATGTTACCAAATGCCGTGAATGCGCATTCACGGCATTTGGTAAGATTGGGCCGGTTGTGCTAGAAAGCTTAGAAAATTGCCAGCTGATTCTGTAGTTGAAATTCGGAATGCATTTGACATACCTTCTGTCGATACTCGATACGTGCTTCAAAATTGAGCATAACATAAGCAACACTGATTTTTACTTGTGCCCTTTAAAAAATATGCTCAAGTTCGAAATTGCACCGCCAGTTGACATGAAGTTAAAATTTCGGAAAACCACAGATCCGTCTTTGTGACAACTCCTCAACATCACATCACGGAATTCGCCCATACTTAGTTTCGGAGACAATTTAAAGGAGGGAGGGCGTTCGGTTCCCTTCCCTCAGTGGCGTTCAGGTAAGCGCGGGTATCCCAACGAGTTGCAATGCAACTGACTAAGATGGCACACTGAAAAAAACTGTTCATCAAGGTAAGATGCTTAGAATTGTCTAAGAGTATTGACTGAACTTTCCTTTGCTTTTGGGTTGTTTTAACACGATCATGAGCGAATAGTTGTGTCATCGAACCTTTAAAAGGGGTCGGCTCAAATGTCATATTTCTTAAAAGATAAGTATTCTAGGGGAAAACATTCCTGAAACGACAATATTGTTGAATTAATCGTATTTCCTTGCAGAGTTTCAAGCAATGAGATCGCATGTGTTGTCTGAATGGATGCAGTACACGATATCTGTAGCGCACCTTCCAGCATTTCCTATGGAACCTCTTTAGTCCTGTCGTGGCCTTCCTGAGACGAGGTTCCTGCAGGGTCTGGCGCTCGCCATGTACGAGCAGTACTGTCTATTTTCCGACATCGAGTGAAATCAGGCATTGCTTGTTCAGTTGCATAAAGTGCATAAAGACATTGCTTTCTGAGGTTTTTGACAGCGTATAGTAGAGCTTATGCTCCTATCTAGCACATGGTACATTTTTCTTTTAGCATGGTTACTTCGTCATACGTGTATGAAAAAAACTATCCTCCATATTCACATTTCATCCAACATCAAATGTGTAAAATTCATTTACCTTTATTGACTCGCATTCGCTTTGCAATAAATACACACAGACATACATAAGAGACACTGCACGCTTTGGCAGGCATTATTGAAGTAAACCCAATATTGACTCATCTCTAGTTGTAGGCCGGGGTGGGCTTATAGGTGGGGGCGGGCTTGTAGGTAGGGGCGGGCTTGTATGCGGGCGCGGGCTGGTAAGCAGGGGCGGGCTTGTAGGCCGGGGCAGGCTTGTAGCTGGGCTTGTACTCGTCGTAGCGGGCCTCACCCTCGTAGATGACGTCAGCAATCAGACCAGAGTAGGCGTCATCCACACGGTAGGTGACCGTCTGGGTACGGCCGTCGGGCAGCACAACCGAGTAAGATCCCTGGGTGGCGTAGCCGTCACGCGCCTCCTGGGCGTTGAAGACGGGCTCGTAGTCTCCGTATCCGTGGACGTCGTAGCTGAAGTCGTACTTGGGCGGCTCGTCGTAGCTCTCCTGGTGGTAGGGAGCGGGCTTGTAGGCCGGCTGGGGGTGGTAGGCGGGCCTGGGCGCGTAGGTGGGCTTGTAGGTCGGGGCGTAGGTGGGCGCCGGAGTGGTGTAGGGCGCGTTGTCGGCGGCGGCAACGGCCAGCAGGGCGGCAACCACGAAGAGCTAGAACAAGGACATCATCGGCAATGTAAGTTCTACATTTCTTTTCCATAAAACCATTTTCATTTACTCATTGCTGAACACATGAGTTTCAAGCGAGTTTCAAGCTCTTTAATCCACGAGAACGTTAGGGTATAGCGCCTTAAATTCACTCTTACATTCAAATGGGTTTCCCGTCCCCTCACCTTCATGTTGTTGGTAGTGAGGCGGTGTGTGATCGTCTGATGGTGGGTGCGGTGTGGAGCCGTGTTTTATACACGGTCCAGCTGCGGTGACCGCCAGTGATGGTGACCCTGCCGGGGGCGGCGGCGCCACGCGGGGAGCGGCCGGCTCCAGCACATGGTATCCCCAGCTTGGACGTCTCAACATACCCGTAATCATTGGTAAGGTCTTCGATTTATGATTTCATTCGCAACATCCCAAGTTTTTTCATTGATTAATAAATGATTCGAAAATAACCAGGTTTCAAAATACAGGCTAACAGCGCATGATATAATAGTAAGAACGGCGACCCTGTAGATGTACATAGTAGTAAGTTGGCGACTCTACTCGAGCTTGAGCATTGAGCAATGCCCAGTTCGATTCCAACTGGCTACCACTGCACACAAAAATTCGGGAACTTAACCCGCGCCCCGCTGGGGGGGGGGGGGGGCAGAATCTGCCACCCCTCCCGTTTTCGCCAATAACTTCTAAACGCGTTACGCCAGCGACGTCAAACTTTCAGTGCCTTATCATACATCAATTTGACACGTTCCCTGAAAATTTGAGCGAAATCCGTCCGGAAAAAAATTGAGAAAATGACGTTTTAGTGACGTCATGTTCGCCATTTTAAAACGGCAAAATGTCAAACGCCGCTAACATCTTCATTTTTAAAGGAATCAAGACGTAACAAAAAGATTATACGTGATTTTACTTTGTCTATCAAATGACTATCTCGGTTTTTTGAAAATTTTGGATTTTGGCCCATTTTTTAATTATAAAATCCAAAATTTTGAGTGTATCAATAAACCGGAATATATGTCAGAGAAGTGGTCTATGTGCACGTACATACCAATTTTCAGAAGAATCGGTTCAAAAATGTGGGAGTTATTCAAAATTTTATGACGTCACGACACACAAAATTTTTGAAGAATGATTTTTTTGGAAGTTCTAGACCTCGTACGGAAACAAAAATAGCACCATTCGACTCGCCGTGAAAACCACATCAGATAGACACCTTTTTAGGCCTTAACAACCAACTTCAAAATTTGACCCCACTTGACCTGACCTTGACCTGACCTCGACCTGAAATTCATCCAGAGGTGGTCCATATCACTTATTGAGTGTGCCTATTGAATTCTATGAATAAAATGACCCATAAAACATGTGTCGCACATGCCCTTTTCTATATTTTGTTTTTGGTGACCTGACCTGACCTGACCTGACCTGACCTTGACCTTGAACTTTGAATGAAATTGTGTGCAAAGAATATTGTCTTGGTAGCCTAAGAACACGTTTTGGGCAATCAGTCTCAGTCCATTCTTCGGCAACTACGGTGCAAGGCCGATATTGTAGAAATTTGCATTTTGTACCCTTGACCTGACATTGACCTGACCTCTGACCTACTTAAGCAAAAACATTGGGCTCCTAAGATCCGCCTTGTTGAGAGCTTTCGATTTCCGTTTTCCCCCTCTTTCTACGACCATCGGTTCGGAAGTTAGACAGGGGGGGGGGGGTAGAATCTGCCCCCCCCCCAGGGCGTGTATGGCTGAATAGCCCAGCGGGGCGCAGGTTAACCCTCGCCCGTATTGGTGTTTTGCCAGCCGCGAACGTATACGGCGGGAGGGGGTCCGTTGGACACCCCCCTTGCCCTTTGGCCCCTGATCAAGCTAGAGCATTGCGAAAAAAAACGAGCGAGTTACCCGTGACGAGAGAAAGCCGATGATACCCGATTTTAAGGTCCTAGTTCATTGACTGACCTTCCAAGTCAGGTCAATGACCCAAAAGTCGGGAAAATCGGGATCTGTTGGAACGTCGTAAAGTGTGGCTGCTACGAGGTTTTCCGCGGTGATGATCACGAATATCATGCCATTTTTTATCACAGATGATGTCTTCATGCATTTATGTCAGGTCGGGTCAGGTCAGGTCAGGTCAGCAAGTAGGGGTCCTGTTGGTATTCTTATCAGGTGTCAACCGTCTCTGATAGCTTCGTAACATGTTACGAACGCACCAAAACTACTTTGCGAATGTTCAAATGGTTGCTAAACTCGAATTTAACTCCAAATAGGTACTAGCCTAGAAACATGTTAAACTCGAAAAAGTGAACCGAGATCATCAAAGTTCAATGACTTGACTTGACCTTCAGGTGACCTTGAAACCCACCCTAATGCATGGGACCAACGTCCAAAATCATATCACATGTTTGAGCGCTTGGAACCACGCAAAGACTGCAAACGCGCGCCTAATGCAAGTCGACATACGCCGAATCGCGATTCCAGCCAAGCATGGTCTCGTAAAGTAGATCACAGGTCAAAGGTCATTTGAGTCAGAATTATGAAATTTTCAGGGTAGGTGTAAAATTGATTACCGCGAGGGTACTAAGAGTTTTGTCGCGATCGGCCGCTTTTTACGCGAGTTCTTCGCGAAAAACCGAGGGTGGTCCATTCGACCCCCTACATATATACGGGCGAGTGTTAATCAGATTTTTGTCCTGCTAGATCACAGTACTCGTAAGATCGGTCCACCCCGGTGGCGGACGACGCGGATGCCGATGAATATACGACCGATGAAAAGTGTTGGTGTTTGCTTCCAGCTGCATCCGATCGGTGTGCTCTGGGACAATGAGAACTGTCAGGTGAATGGTTTGGGACTGCAGGTTTGGGAACATTTTCATCAGACCTCAGTTCACCGATGGGTTAGGTTGGAATCGTGTTTGTCAGCTCAGAAACTGTTATTTGATTGATGAGGTGCTGTGGTATAAGGATAGAGACGTACTTTTAGGCATCGAAAACTCTCGCGTGACTTATGGGTTGTGCTAGAGAGCTTCGAAAATTGCCAACTGATGTTGTAGTTCAAATTTGGAATGCATTGGTACAGCTTGTCAGTACTTAATTCAAAATTGAGCATAACATAACTAAGCAATACTCCGTAGTCCGTTCACTCGAGCCATAAAAAATATGCAAAGTTTTGAACTTGCACCACTATTTGACATGAAAAGTCGAAATTGTTGAACGTTCCAGATGCGCCTTTGTGGCAACCCCTCAACACCACCTCGCGGGACTCGGCCACAGCTAGTTTCGGAGAGAGAAGTTGGGGGAATGGCTTTAGGTCTTCTTCCCTCAGTGGCATTCAGCTTAAGGTTCAGGCAAGCGCGGGTATCATAACAAGTCGCAACTGACAATGATGGCATACTGAAAGAAATAAAAGTGTTCATCAAGGTAAGAAACTTAGAAATAGTCTGAAAGCACAAACTTAACTATGCATTGTTTATGTGTCGATTAAACACGGCAATGGCCAAACAGTTGTGCCATCGAGCTCATAAAAAAGGTCAGCTCAAATTTCATATTTCTTAAAAATAAGTATTTTAGGGGAACATTCCCGAAACTATGCTATTTTTGCATTAACCGTGTTTCGTTGCAGAGTTTCGAGCAATGAGATAGTATGTTGCCTGAATGAATGCAGTAAATGGTGAATGGCGGTGAAAAATGGTGTAGCCTTCACCGCTTCCTGGGGCATTCCACGATAGATCGACCAAAAAAACTTAAAATTTACACCCGCATATTTTATTTTTTGCTTAAAATTGGTCTAATGGGTTGTTATGGGCGGGGAACCCAGCTGTGGCAAGGATTTTTTTCTTCGAACAACGGTTTCCGAGATATAGCCTCGGGCAGTTCCTGGAGGTCACGCTGCAACCCTATGTTTGGCGGCTTATAACTCAGAAACTATTGGTTTTCTATGGTAAAAACTTAATATGGTTCAACTCGCAATCAACCAACAAACGTTTTGGCTATCTCGGATTTTCGAATTTTGAAAATTTTGATCACGTGACATCTTGACCTTTTTTTCGAAGAGTGACCTTGATATTTTCCCAACTGAAAGTCGCAATTTTGTCTGATGACGATTAAAGCCTTATCAATTGTCATTCATATGCGATAATAAAAAAGTGGCTTTCGGCCTGCGTTGACCTCAGGTCAGGTCATTTTTATGACCTTCCCATTATTACGAGCGGGAGCGACAGCGAGATCTCGAGAACAAAGCAAGATAGCGACAAGCGGTAAACGGCACAGGGTACACATGGATAAGGTCTACACTTTTTACTGAGGTCATTTTCAGGTCAGGTCAAAGATGACGTCACAGGGGTAAAAAGAAAGTCTAAATGGCGGCACCACATATAAATGAAGTTTTTCTCGAATAACTTTCGAAGTATCCCAGCTAGGAACAAACTAATAGCACCATCGTGATCCTCTCGTCGATCCGCATCGAAACATGTGTATGTTGACCTCGAAAGGTCAAGGTCAAAAGTTGACCTTAGGTCACGTGACCTTAAGGTCATCATATATATCATTCGATGGGCCTTGACGAGCTGAACACAATGAGCCTATCCGCGCGGCTGTAGGGGAGAGTGGGGCACATTCGTGCAAAAAATGGATAAACCCATATATCTGTTCTTTGGTTAGTGCAATGGCAAAATTGTTGATTGTAGTATGGAAAGGAACTATTGCAGATAGTTTTCCTCTGTTAGTTATCCTATAAAATTATTGCTTCCATTAGAAAAAATGACTTTTATTAACTCTGAACATTTGCACGAAACTGCCCCACCTATGGGGCACATTCGTTCAAGAGATGGGGCACTTCCGTTCACCCGGCAAAATTCGAGAAATTACCGGGCATTACCAGAAATTTACCAAAGGAAATTGGCAGGGGGTCATTTCACTTGATTCCTTTCGACAAGAATGCATTGCACAACAAATGTAGAAAGAATGGGCTGGCCAACAAGAATGTGCCAACTGCCGGCCTCCGTGACCTCGCCAAGTTCGCGTGAATTGCTCGTCACGACGTCGCAAGCAGTCGAGACTGAGTCAGGCGAGCGTCATTAGAGAAACCTACTACAGATAAAGTCATAAATCGCAAAAACTAAAAAAAATATGCACGAATGTGCCCCCAGGCAGTGCGTACACGAACCTGCCCCACAACGTTATTAGTAATATATTTCAAAATTTCTTTTTGAAAAAATGACACTTT